TGAAGGCACGGCCCCCAGGCAGGACCCCAGCCTCCAGGTATAACTGCTCTAACCTCCCAGCAGGGCTGCCCTCAGTTGAGCCAGTGTGGGGAGGGCTGTGGGCATTGCCGACCTGTGCATTTCTTCCAGATCTGCCATCCAGGACAGGGGGAACTATGTGCGGCTCAACATGAAGCAGCGATGCTATGTGCGGGGCCGGGCCCTGCGAGGCAGGCTCCTTCGCAAGCAGGTGAGATGGTAGTACCAGGTGCTCCCCCCAGCTGCCCTGCTGCTTGCCCTGTGATCCTTCTTTGTGTCCCCAACCAGGCATGGAAGCAGAAGTGGCAGAAAAAACGGGAGTGTTTTGGGGGTGGTCAGCCCAGAGCCCCAGCCCAGGATTCTTGCTCCCAGCATGGGCAGCTCAGCCACTGGGCGTCCCGATGCCCTCAGCCTGGTGAGGAGGCCTCTGCCCTGGATGCCAACCTGCTTACAGGGGTGTTGTGCTCTTTGGGAAGGCAATTCCGGCTCAAGCAAAGGCCCTACTAATTCCCTGCTTACGGTCCAGAACCTCTCCTGGCGCCTCAGAAGGAGGATGTCAAGGCTGCGAATGACACACAGACCCAGCCCACGTTACAGGAAGAGTCCCTGAGGACCGGTGCAGCCTGCTGCCAACTCTCTGGTGAGTTAAGAGGTGGAGGAGAGGCTGTAGCAAGTTGCTTTCTTGGTACTATGACGCCAGACCAGCCCAGGGCTCCTGTTCTGTTCATCTGTTCTCAGCAGATGAAGAAGACGCTGAGCCTGGGGCGCCTGAACTGCTGGTGCCCATGGAGCAGTCTGTGTCCAGGACGCCCTGTCCGCCTCTTTCCGTGCCTCCACTCTACCCACTGGGTCCCTCGGGTCAGGTGGCAGGTCAGCAGATGCCTAACAGCCCAGGCCTGGATGGAAGGGTTAGGACGACTCGGAGCAAAGCTGACTGACACCTGTGTCCACAGACACACCGGCTGAGGTGTTTCAGGCCCTGGAGCAACTGGGGTACCAAGCCTTCTACCCTGGGCAGGAGCGTGTGGTCATGCGGATCCTGTCTGGTGAGTTGGCTGGCAGGAGAGTGGTGGGGATGAGGCCAGGCTGCAGGACGGCTGTCTTGACTGTAGATCACACTCAGGTGTGTCCACCCTGCTGGTGCTGCCCACGGGGGCTGGTAAGTCCCTGTGCTACCAGCTCCCAGCGCTGCTCTACTTCCGGCGAAGCCCCTGCCTCACCCTGGTCATTTCTCCTCTCATGTCACTCATGGATGACCAGGTAGGTGGACAGGGCCTGTGGACACACGCAAAAGGCAAGGACTGGTATCCATGGCTCTGCTGACCACTTGGGCTGCTGTTTCTTGCCCCACCCCCACCCCAGAGCTGCAAGTTATCAGGCCCTTTCCACTCTGTCCACAAGTTGGCAGTGGCCCAAAGGCACAGGGACACGGCTGCTTAGACCCAGTCCCACCCACCAGAGGAGCAGCTTGGTAGGAGCGCCCCCACTGGGACTCGACCCCAGTGCACCTCAGTCAAGGCCCACAGGCAGCTCTGGCCTCTCCTCCCTAAAGGGCCTGGGAGGGAGCCAGCAGTTGTCAGGTGAAACCATGCTGGAAGGCCTTTGGGAAAGGTCCAGGGCATGCAACAGGCTGTGCTCCTGTCCCTGCAGCTCTCTGGCCTGCCCCCCGGCTTGAAGGGGGCCTGCATTCACTCGGGGATGACCAAGAAGCAGCGGGACTCTGCCCTGCAGAAGGTGAGGGGACCTCCCAGGGCCAGACGGGCGGAGCAGCGGGCGGAGCCAGGTGCTGCTGCTGACCAGCGGGCCTCCTCAGGCTCGTGCAGCCCGAGTGCAGGTGCTGATGCTATCCCCAGAGGCGCTGGTCGGGGCCGGTGCTGGCACCCTCCTCTCTCAGCTGCCGCCGATCGCCTTTGCCTGCCTCGACGAGGCCCACTGTCTCTCTCAGTGGTCCCACAACTTCCGGCCCTGTTACTTGCGTGTCTGTCAGGTGAGCCTGGGCGGGTGGGGGAGCGTGCAGAGCAGGGGGGTGGCGCTGGCTCACAGCCCCCTCACAGACGCCTCGGGACCAGCCGGGCGTCCGCTGCATGCCTGTCAGGTGAGCCTGGGCGGGTGGGACAGTGCGCAGAGCAGGGGGGTGGTGCTGGCTCATGGCCCCCTCACAGACGTTGCGGGACCGGACCGGCGTCCACTGCTTCTTGGGCCTTACAGCCACAGCCACACGCAGCACTGCCCTCGACGTGGCCTGGCACCTGGGCGTGACTGAGGAGTCAGTGCTCAGAGGGCCAGCTACCATCCCTGCCAACCTGCACCTCTCTGTGTCCTCGGACAGGGACCCAGACCAGGTAAGCGTGTGTGCATGGGCCTGGCGGCAGCCCTGCCTCCCAGCTCTCTGCAGTGACCCTCGTCCCCATAGGCACTGGTGACACTGCTGCAGAGTGACCGTTTCCGGGCTCTGGACTCCGTCATCATCTACTGCCACAGGCGAGAGGACACAGAGCGTGTCGCCGCCCTGCTGCGCACCTGCCTGCACGAGGCCCGGAACCCAGGGCCCCACGGTGAGGCGAGGCAGGCCTGCGCCCCGCAGACGCGCCCCGGGCACACGCCCTACCTGACTGCCCTGGTCTTCTCTGCAGGCCGAGCGCTGGAGGCTGTGGCTGAGGCCTACCACGCTGGCCTGTGCAGCCGAGAGCGGCGGCGGGTGCAGCGGGCCTTCATGGAGGGCCGGCTGCGCGTGGTGGTGGCCACGGTGGCGTTCGGGATGGGGCTGAACCGGCCGGATGTGCGGGCTGTGCTGCACCTGGGCCTGCCCCCCAGCTTCGAGAGCTACGTGCAGGCGGTGGGCCGCGCAGGGCGTGACGGGCAGCCGGCACACTGCCACCTCTTCCTTCGGCCCCAGGTGGGTGCCCACCCCGCCCCCAGCAGCTCCCCCAGCCCCACCTGGGGCTGCGCCCCACGTTCACACCACTCTGCCCCAGGGCCAGGACCTGCGGGAGCTGCGCAGACACGTGCACGCCAACGCTGTGGATTTCCTTGCTGTGAAGAGGCTGGTGCAGCGTGTGTTCTCTCCCTGCACTTGTCCCCGGCAGCCCCCAGAACAGGAGGGCAGCGGGAGCGGGGAAGGGCGCTTGGCCGGGGCCCCTGTAGCTGCTAGCGCCCAGGATCCTGGCCAGCCCAGCATCCCACACACACCCCGGTGCCCAGGCCATGAGCGGATGCTCCCAGTGCAGCCAACTGTGCAGGCCCTGGATATGCCGGAGGAGGGTGAGGAGCAGGGGCATGCGCGGCGGGGCTAGGGGGTCCCACAGGCCCCGAGTGAGCTCTTCTCTGCCCGCAGCCATTGAGACGCTGCTGTGCTACCTGGAGCTGCACCCACGGCGCTGGCTGAAGCTGCTCACGCCCACCTATGCCCGCTGCCACCTGCGCTGGCCTGGGGGCCCCACCCAGCTCCAGGCCCTGGCCAGCAGGTAAGCACACGTCCCACCCGAGCCGTCGACGGGGACAGAGGACAGGGCTGCCAATCACATGCCGCCCCCCTGGCACAGGTGCCCCCCACTGGCTCTGTGCTTGGCCCAGCAGCACCCCGACATGAGGCAGGGGTGCAGTTCTGTGGAGCTAGATCTGGTCGAGCTGTTGGACTCTACAGGCTGGGAGCTGGGCCCTGTGCGGCGGGCTCTCCTCCAGCTGCAGTGGGACCCAGAGCCTGGGACAGGTGCGCCCACCCCCAGCCCCACTTGCCCCCCTCTCCCTGCCCCTCTGCCAGTTATTGACACCCTATCTGGCAGGTGTGCCCCAGGGCACGGGGGTGCTGGTGGAGTTCAGGGAGACGGCCTTCCACGTGCACAGCCCGGGGGACCTGACGGCCCAGGAGATGGACCAGATCTGCGACTTCCTGCATGGCCGTGTGCAGGCCCGAGAGCAAGAGGCCCTGACCCGCCTGCACCACACCTTCAGGGCTTTTCACAGGTGCAAGAGGAGGTGGGCAGGGCGTGGGCCACCCCACCCTGCCCCAGGCAGGCCTTCTTGACAGGCTCTCCCCTCTGCAGCATGGCCTTCCCCAGCTGCGGGCCGTGCCTGGAGCAGCCCACCTCGGAGCACAGCAGGAGGCTCAAGGCCGTGCTCAGTCAGTACTTTGAGGAAGAGTCAGAGCAGCCGGGGGGCCTGGAGCCAGAGGACGACCCCGAGCTGGGACAGGACAGGGTGAGTGTCGGGGCCTGGAGGCGTGGCTGCAGAGGGTGCACCTGTCTGTGGGCACACACCCGCCTCCTGCTGGTGTTGTGGCGGGCCGTGCAGAAGAGCGAGCAGTGGAAGCCAGGCCGTGCAGAAGAGCGAGCAGTGGAAGCCGGGCTGGCCTGACTGTCCCCCCCCTGCAGCTCCAGGACTGGGAAGACCAGATCCGCCGGGACATCCGCCAGCTCCTGTCCTCGTGGCCAGAGCAGCGATTCTCAGGCAGGGCTGTGGCCCGGGTCTTCCATGGCATCGGTGCGGACCTGGGAGGCCTGGCCCTGAGGGAGGTGGGGGCTGGGGTCACACCTGGCCCGCAGTCCTCAGCCGCATCTCCTCCCCCTCCAGGGAGCCCCTGCTATCCAGCCCAGGTGTTCGGGCGAGACCAGCGCTTCTGGAGGAAGTACCTGCACCTGAGCTTCCCTGCCCTCATGCACCTGGCCACGCAGGAGCTCCTGCTGTGGGGCCGCTGACCACCCTTCTGCAGAGGACCCAGCGCCCCCTTGTCCCAGACAGGGGTCTACGTGGGGCTGCAAGGCCACAGCATGGGGGTGTCAGGTGTAGTGGATCCTCAGGGTAAAGATGGAGGGGGATGCAGTGATCAGGACAGTGACCCACCACCCCAAACATAGCCCACCACCAGGAGCACGGGGGCAGAGAGGCCCCAAAGTGCAGAATAAAAGTTGCTCGAGTTGTTTTCAGGATCCTTCCTTCCACTGGGAACAACCCCATAGTCTGGGGATGACTCTGCACAACACTTGTCCCAGAAGCACACTCCACTTTATTGATGAGTCCAGCCTTTCAGCTCAGGCCAGAGTGTTGGGCACAAAGCCCAGGTACAGCATGGGGGTGGCTGAGAGAGCTAAGAAGAGAGAGAAGCAGAGGTGTGGCCCCAGGCTATCAGCCAGGGCTCCCGCCAGTGTGCCCACCAGCAGCTTCCCCAGCAGCTCCAGAGTGGCCAGGAGACTGTAGTGTGTGGCCTGCGGGGTGGACGGAGGATGTCACGTCAGGACCTGCTTGGACTCCAGGCCCACAGCCCCTGATGTTGCAACCATGGTTCTCACCTGCAGGGCACTGGGTGCCAGCTGACTGCAGCGCATCATCACGGTGAAGGTGGTGGTTGTGACCAAGCCCCCCAGGAGGTGCTGCAGACACAGACTCAGCAGGGCTGCCCCTGGGAGGGTGAAGGTCAGCAAGGCCCAGGGCCCCAGGCTCTGCCCCCCATGGCCCACCCTCACCTCTCAGGACTGTGCCAGGGATGGGGTTGGCTCTGGGGCTGTTCAGCTGAAAGAGCAGGGCAGTCTGGTAGGCCAGGCCCCCAAGACGGAACCGAAGCACTGACCTCAGGAGGGGCAGTGGCTGCCTGAGGGGGAGACAGGGCAGGTCAGAGGGCACGGGGAAGGAGAGAGGAGCAGGTGGGTAGGGTGTGCTGAGGGGGGGGCTCACCAACGCCTGGCCAGCAGGACCCCACCCAGGGATGAGCCAGCAATGGAGCAAAGCACAGCACCCACACCATTCCACAGCCCCAGCTCTGGGGTGGAGATGCCGCCGTCCAGCAAGAGCAGTGGGAACAGGCCACTGGCACCCTGCTCACCTGTGGAGAGACAGTCAGTAGAGGCAGCTTGCCCTGCTTCTCCACCTCAGCCTCCGTCACACTCCCCCAGCCCTTCTGCTGGGCCACAGGCGCCAGCAAAACAGGTGGGGCTAGGCTTTGGCCAAATTCAGGGTCAGCACAAAGCAGCTCAGAAAGGCCTGCAGGGGTGTGGCTGGGGCTAGACCTGCAGACAGGAAACAAGGCCCAGCCGCACAGTGGGGGTGGGGGGGGGCGGGGGCTCCAGGCCTCAGGTCAGACCCCACAAAGGGAAGGCAGTCCTGCGCCAGTTCCTGGAGACCCACCCGTGCTACTGCCTGACTCACCCAGCTTGTAGGTGAGCACGAAGCCCGCTGTCCACAGGGTCCCAGGCACTGCCAGCAAGTCCTGCTGAAGGTGCAGGCTGGGGCGGGGGTGCGCTGAGGGCGGGGGTGTGGGCAGCTGTCGCAGGGCGGGCGCCACCCAGGCCGCGGCTGCAGCCAGCCAGTAGGTGGCGGCCAGAAGCAGGAAGAGCAGCGTCCAGGAGAGCGCGGGCAGGAGGGCCAGCAGCCCACCGCCAGCCAGCGCGGCCCCCAGCTTGTAAGCAACCACCTGCACGGTATTGCCGGGCCCCAGCTCAGCCGGCTCCAGGAGCCGCACGGCCAGCATGTCCAGGGCCACGTCCTGCACGGCCGCAGCCAGATTCAGCAGCAGGAGCAGCGCCGCCACCGGGATAGGCAGCGCGGCCCCGCCGGCGCCGGCAGGAGGCAGGGCTGCCAACAGCCCGCACACCAGGCCCAAGGCAGCCGTGCTGAGTGCCAGCCAGCCCCTTGGGGAGCCCCACGTGTCTACTAGCGGAGCCCAAAAGAGCTTGAGCAGCCACGGCGCATACAGCGCCTTGGCCAGCCCCACGCGCGTCAGGGAAAGGCCACGGGCGCGCAGCAGCACGGGCAGCAGGCCTGACTGCAGGCCGTAAGGCAGGCCCTGCACCAGGTAGAGGCCGGCCAGGGGCAGCAGCTTCCCGCGCATGGCCAGGGGGCACGGCCCTGGGGAGGGGGCCGCGTTCAGGGCCAGACGGGCAGGATGAGGGGTCCCGCTCAGAGCAGGGGCAGGGCGGTTCCCAGGGGCTCCGATCCGTCCAGTTGCGATGGGGTTAGGGGTCACACAGCGGCACGACTGGGGCTGGGTCAGGGGTGGCCAAGCTGGCATCCGCGACCGCGCCTTCGGGTCCCGCGGGCTCAGCACCCGAGGAGCTGGACGTCTCAGCAGCGGAGCTGGGCAGCCCTCGCGCGCCACAGCGCAGCCCGGAAACGCGGTGGCCATAGAGGACGTGGGCGGGCTAGAGCGCCGACAGCCCGCGCGCGCCCCCGGTGGCCGACTGGCTTCGAACGTCGGAAACCGGGGCCCATCCAGGTCCCTCCCCGGCCGTCTGACCGGCTCCCAGACGCCCCTCAGCCTCCGGAAGTGCCGCAGGTGTCCCACCTGGGGCCTGGTGGCTACCGGTTCCGCTGGGTCGCCTAGCGGCTCCACAGAGCAGCTGTCCTCTCAAGCCTCTCGGCTGCTGCTTCCTTGGCTCCGGTGCCCTTCAGCTCCCTGAACTCGTGGTCTCAGCGCCCTCTGGAGGCCGGTGGCTGAAGAGTGTCGTGGGAAAGGCCTGAGCCCCGTTCATCCCACGCACGCTTCCGGCTGCTGCCCCACAGGCTCTGGTGTCCAGTGAGGAGGAGGCCCCGAGAGCCTGTCTAGGCTCCAGGTGGCCTCAGCGGTGGTGGTGGGCGGGGAGGTGGGGGGGGAGTCCCCACCCCCCAAGGGTCTCACACAGCCTCTCGGGCCAGAGCTATGCTGATGCCTGAGGACACCTGAGGCCCAGGGGAGCCAGTGAAACCCGCACTTTGGTTAAGAACCCCCTCCCGAGCTGAGCTGGGACCTTGGCCAGTAGTTTCCCCAAGCCCGTGGGTCTCTGAAGCCAGCTAACCCTTAAACCAACTCATAGGCATTTGAGCCAAGACCCTTGGTCAGCTACGAAGGCCACATGGAGTGAGTTTCCTGTGATTTCTAGGCATTTCAGGGGCCCAGGTCTCCTCTTCTGTGAAATGGGGACTAAAGTGCCCACTACAGAGGACCCACAACAGTGACAGTAGCTGCTCGTCCTTGAGGGCCAGTGTCAAGGACATACGGTTGGCTGCCCATCTGGGTCAGCCCCCAGCCTGGGTCCTTTAGGCTGGTGCTCCAAAGGGCACCTCTTCCTCACCATTTTCTGAGCTCTCTTCACCCAAACCTGCCCCAGCTCTGGGGGCCCTCCTCTCTGTTTTCCAGCCCAAGGACTGCATTTGCACGTGGATGTCACACACTCCATACGAGCATGACAAAGGTGACCCATGTACCCTTCCGCCCCCACCCCTTAGCTGACATTGCTCCTCCGCCAGCTGTCAAAGCTGCAGAACCGCTATCACCTGCCCCGTCTGGAAACCAAGACGCCCTCCTTGCCCTCTCAGGGCTGCTCGGTTTCCCTCTGCCAACTCTGCCAGTTCCCATCCAGCCAACTCTATCCTGTAAGAATGTCCGCTCCTCAGGAAGCCCTCCTTGACCATGCCCCGGCCCCCAGGCCTGCACAGAACCCAGACAGACAGGCAGTCAGGAGTGGACGAGGCTGCGAAGGTGCCCGTGTGGGTGTGCACGTGGCCTCCAGGCAGCCCGGCCAGCCCACTGCTTTATTAGGGCCTGTGGAGGGGCAGGGGCTCTGCCACACAGGCAGCAGCAGCAAGTCCAGAGGCTCCAGAGGCCCCAGGGCCAAGTGCCCTCAGTCGGAGGTCGTCCCTTCTGGCTGGCCCTGGCTTCTGACGGGTCCTCAGGAGTACTCGCGGGTGAACTTGGAATGGAACTGGCTCAGCTTCTCCAGCAGGGGCCGCAGCTTCTCCATGGGGGGCAGAATAGTCATCCTAAAAGGGGGAAGAAAGTAAGCGAATGCAGTGGGGGTCAAGGGGAGGGGCTGCACAAGTAGGGCCTCACCGAAAGTGGTAGGTGCCTTCCCGTTGTCCGAAGCCACTCCCAGGCACCACGCAGATGCCAGTCTCCTCTAGGAGGCGCAGGCAGAAGAACATGTCGGGAGCCAGGCCCAGCTCCTGGGGGTTCAGGAGGATGGGAAGGGACGCTCAAGGAGGACGATCAGGGAGGACGTTCCCGGCCCCGCGGGCCCTGCCCATCCCGCACGTCGGACCTGAGCGCGCTGCACCGCACGCGGGGGCAGCTGCACGCGCGGGAAGGAATACATGGCGCCCTGAACCGGGTTGCAGCGGATGCCGGGAGCTTCGTTGAAGACCTTCTCCGTGAGCTTGGCCTTGGCCGCTAGTTCGGCCAGCACCGCCCGCCTCTCCTGCAGCCGAGGAAGGGAGGGTTGGTCAGGCCAGGTCAGGCCAGGCCGGGCGCGGGGCCCCGACGCCCGCGGCCCCGCCCACTCACCGCCTGGAACTGCGCGAAGGAGGGGTCGGAGGGCGCGGGCGGGCTGACAGCCACGTCGAGCAGGACCTGGCCCGGGGTGGGCGGGCACAGCCGCACGCTCCGCAGCTTCTGCATCTGCTGCTTCACCGCGGAGTCCATGTTCACCACCTCCACGTAGCCGCCGCGGAAGCCGCACCTGCGACGCGAAGGCGGGCGTCGAGGCAGGGCTGGCAAGGAGGGGCCAGCCTGGCAGCAACGAGAGCCCGGCCGCCGCCCGAGATCTGGGCCCCACCCGCCCAGCCCGCACGCACTCGCCCATGTAGCCCTTGGAAATCGAGTGGAAGGAGGCGAGCTCTTGTCGCGCTGCGTACGGTGGCCCCATCTCCGTGAGCACCTTCTTGAACGAGTGGAACTGCGAGCCCTCGGCGTACACGTTGTCTTGGTACACCTGGACGGGCAGCCGGGAGACGGCGGGCCGCGTCACTGGGGCGCGTGCCACCTCCCGCCGCCCCCTCCCCGCGGGCGCCCTGCCAGCACCTCATCGGCCAGTAGGAAAAGCCTTTCCTCAAAGGCGAAGCGGATCACGTCCTCGATGCACTCTCGAGTCTGCACCTGCCCTGTGGCGCGGGGGTGCGACAGGTCCGGGGTCAGCGGAGGGGGCGCTCTGCTCTGTGCAGGGCGGCGGGCGGAGGGGAAGGCTGACCCAGGCGCGGCGGACAGGCATGCCTGTTCGGGCCGGGGCGGCGGGGCGGGGATGGGTGGGGTCGCGCACCGGTGGGGTTCCCGGGGTTGATGACGCAGAGCGCGCGGGGGCGGCAGTGGTCACGCGCCTGGCCCAGCGCGCGCCGCAGCTCGGCCACGTCGAGCGACCAGGCACGCTCCTCGTCCAGGTAGTACTCCACCTGCACCGCGTTGAGCTCGGCCAGCGCGGCGGAGTAGAGTGGATACTGAGGGATGGGGATGAGCACGCCCGTGCGGGTGCGACCCTCGCCGGTTACCAGCAATTTCAGCACCGTCTGCGGAAGGGATGGGAAGTGGGGTTGGCAGACCCTCCCGGCTGCGCACTAGGAACCGCGGTGGCTTCCCGCACTGGCCCCGGCCTACCACAATGGCATCGCTGGCCCCCGTGGACAGGAAGATGTTATTGGGGTCGGCGGGAATGCCTCCATCGCGCCGCTCAATGTACCGCGCCACGTCCTCGCGGATCATCTGGACACCAGCGCTGACGCTGTAGGCCCCTGAGCGTGGGGGGACGGGGCAGGACGGCCGGGGTGGGACAAGTGAGGTCCCCTCGATGCCCACGTGAGGAAACCCAACCCCCTTCCAGGGGCGGGCCCACCTGAGACAGCCTCCCTCCAGCTCCTGCTCACCGCATCCCCCCCCCAACTCCCCGGGGCTTGGGCGGGTTCTGGTGCTCACCCAGGCTGTGGCCCCCACAGGCCTGCAAGATGCGTTCTGCCTTCCTCTTGGCGTCCTCCGGGAAGTCAGGGCTGTTCAGGAGATCGGGGTGGACACAGAGGGCCAGGACCTGGGAGGAGCAAGTGCTGGGGCCAGGGTCCACGGGCTGATTGGGGGAGGGTGCAGGGCAGTGCTGAGCCTCACCTGGCGCGGAAAGGTGATAGGGATCTGCCCCATGGCCTGTGCGTCCCCGATATTGGCACGGATGACCTCGGTGAAGGGCTTCTTTACGCCCTGGAGGGAGGCGGGGAGCGCAGTGAGGGGGGAGCTTATCACTCCCACAGGCCTTGTCTCCTAAGGTGGGGGGTGGGGAGGAACCCGCCTGGGGCCCTCTCACCAGGCCCAGGGGACGGGCAGGGGTTGGGGGACCTGCCTGGGCCCCTCTTGCCAGGCCCGGGGGGGTTGGGGGGCGGGGGCACGGGGGCTGCCTGGGGTCCTCTTGCCAGGCCAGGGGGGTGGGAACATACCTGGCGCAGCTCCTGCTCCAGCTCCAGCGCCCGCTGCACAATGGGGCCTCGAACCGCGTACTCCACCCTCCTGACACAAGGATTCATGGAGTCCAGTGTCAGCACTTTCTCCTTCAGCCCATTTGCTGCCTCCTGGTTGTGCTCACCTGCCCTCAGGGCCATGACTCTGCTCAGATGGGCAGGAAGGAGGCTTAGGAGGCGGCAGGATCCAGAAGTGGGGGTGAGGTCAGCCGGTCCAGGCTCGGTGGGCCAGGGCTGGGAAGGGGGAGCCTGGGAAGGGGGCGAGCCCTGTTGGCTGCAGCCTGCTGGCCCCACTGAGAGTACAGAAGAGGCTGAAGAAGGAGCCGGGCTGCCAGGCCCCACCCGCCTGGGCACAGTTCTGCCCTGGGAGCCACAGGGAGTGGGTGAGAAGGCAGGCGGGGCTTGGGGTGAGGCCCAGTGCCCGCCCAGCGTCCCCAGGACAGGGGGCAGGAGACCCACATGGGGCAGGGACAGGCGGAACGTGCCAGCAGCTCCGCGGGATGAGGCCTGGGGGTGGGGAGGGGGCTGAGCGCCCTGGGGGGTCCATAGAGCCAGGAGGACTGGGCCCTGAGCAAGCGGGAGTGAGGCCCGGGGCCTCAGCATAGTTACCCCAGTAGGGCTCGGCCGAGGCCCAGCCCTCTTGGACCCCCCCATCTTTGCTCCCGGCCTGCTGGCCTGTCTCCCGGGTAACTGAGCCAGGCCTCAGGAATCTTGGGGCTGTTGGGGTAGGGGAGCGAGGCTTCAGACGCGGGTTCCACTTGGCCCTCCTGCGCTGGGGACCAGGCCTGGGCCAGCAAGAGCCCTGTGTTTGGACCTTGGTCCCCCATCAGTGCTGCAAGGTTGGAGTCTCTGGGTTGGGGTGCTGGAAGGGGCAGGGGCAGGGCAGCTCTGGGCCTTCGCAAGGCCTTTGGGACACCTCTGCGGTTCCGGGCTGCTGTCTTGCCCTTTTGCCAAACACGTACCAGCCTGGAGCTGCCCTTGGGGCTGCACCAGGGGCAGAGTGACCTAAGCGCCCCCTCCCTGAGGCTCCTGATTGGTGCAGAGAGTGGGAAGGGAGCTGTGATAAGCCTCGGGGCCCACCTCTGCAGGCCCTGCAGGGAGCGATAGGCCCCGTGTGGCCTGCCCAGCCCCAGGCTCCGACACCACACGGAGGGTCAGGGAGCGCCCTTCTCAGCGGAGCTGGGCAGGCCTGTGGTGCGCCGGCCCCTTGGCTCCCGTGGGCGGGAGAGGAAACCGGAGCCCAGGCAGCTGGCCTCTCACCTGGCGCCTCCTGCTCCGCGGCCACCGCTGCCTCCCAGAGCACAGGCCTCTCTGGCCCCGAGGCAGAAGCGCAGGCTGATAGGGCCCCAGCATCAGGCAGAGCCCGCCTCTGCCCGCCCCCTGGCAGCAGGGCCCAAGTAGCAGCTGTGGCAAGCAGCCCCTGGGCAGCCGCCCCGGCCCACACGCTAAATTTAACCGGCAGCCTCCCCCAACTCTGCTGGGGACACCCCTCCAACCACTCATGCTCAGGGAAGGGACCGCGGACTCTGGGCTGACCAGGTAAGTAAGTGTCCAGCAGAGAGGGTGACCCCAGCCCATGGCACCCAGCACTCGTGGCCGGGCCAAGCAACCTGCCAGGGACAGACAAGCTGGCAGGGCCCCAGCCCTCCCAAGTGAGGCCCCTAAGTGGCCCTGTCACCCCAACGCATCATGCCTGGCCAGCTCAGAGCCTGTTTGCCAGCCCAAGCGGAAGCTGGCAGCCAGGGCCCCGGGGCTGCATGCCAGGAACGGGGAACCCACCCCCGACAGGGAGGCTTCTGACACAAGCCTTGAACCACTTTGCCTTGCTGGCTCTGGCCAAGAGCCTTACGGGAAATACCCTCTTCTCTTCTAAGCCAGGGTCCTTGCCCTCCAACGAGGACACCCTCAGCCCTGGCCCCCAAGGAGTGTCCTTCCGAAGCTACTTTTTCTGCTCAAGAAAGCAAAGTATTACAGAGGGGCCTCCAGGAGCCTGGGAGGCGGCGTGCTGAAGGGCCAGGTTTCTTGCCTGACGGGCATGTGCCCCACACCCACGCGGGGCTGGGCACCCCGAGCGAGCCCCAGCGTGTGCTATGGGCCTCGGGTGCTCCCGGGGCAGGCGCACCCAGGCCCAGCAACACAGCCGCTCCCTGCTGGCAACAGAGGCCCTGTTGAGACACAAGGCAGTGGCAGAACAGCCCTTTATCGAGGGTCACAGGACAACACTAGGTCTCTGCAGCCAGGCGCCTCCCAGGCACAGCTTCTGCCTCGGGGCTGTTCCTCAGGGAGGCTGGCAGCCTGGCCCGGGACACGCACTGGGCACGCAGAGCGGGGGCCCGGGGCTGGGCAGTGGGGCCTTCACCGCCCCAGCAGCCAGGCCCTCACATGAGCAGGCAGCATGGTCTCTTCTCCACAGGGGCCGCCTCTGAGGGGGCTGTGAGTTTCAGCAGGGGCGGGTCTCCACTCGCCCCACAGCCACTCTCCGGCTGGGGGGTCTCAGTGTCCACAGGCAGGCCAGCCTCAGCAGCCTCGGGCCCCTCAGCTGGGGGTCGTTGCAGCTTTGCAGCCGCCCGCTGCCGCTTGAGCTCTGCCAGGGTGTGGTGGGCCTTGGCGCGCACCAGGGCGTCGGGGGAGGCGCTCTCCAGGGCGCTCAGCTGGTAGGAGACGCTCCGGTCCAGCCGCTTGGAGTACAGGTGCCGTCCCGGGGGGCCCCCCACTCGGCCATTGTGCGGCCTGGCCTCCTCAGGGTCCTCCTCCTGTTGGGGGAGCACGGCCCGGAGGCCATCAGCAGGCGCCCTCTGGCCTGGGGCCCCAGGCAGCACGGTGGTCCAGGAGCCAAAACAAGGGTGGGGGCGGAGCTGACCCCCGAGCGTGTGGCTCTTGCGTTTGAGGACAGGGTCACTGGCCCCACCAGGGTGTGAGGGCGGGCCGGGCTCACCTCCAGGGGCGGCGGCTGGAGCTCTGCGTCGGTCTGGCGGTCCTCATCCTCTTCCAACGGCTCGGGGCTGGCAGGCGGGGGCTGCTGCCACACGATGGCCTCCTGGGCGTGCTCCCTGCGGTACAGGCTGGTGCGCTGGGTCAGGCTCACCCGCCTCACCACCTTCCTGGGAGCGCAAGGAGAGGGTGGGGGAAGACATCGCCTTCCCTGTGGACTCTGCCTAGGCTGGCACCCTGGGCTGCCAGCTGACCTCAGCGGGGACAAAGCCCCAGGCCCAGCCCACGGGGCGGGGCCGCGGGGGCCTGGCGGGAGGGGTGGGCACTCACCCGCGGCTGCCAGTGCTGGAGGTGCGGCGGCGCAGCAGGGAGCGCTGGCGGCCCTGGGCACGCAGGAGGGCATCATGCTTGTGCTTCAGCTCCAGCAGCTTGGCGCGTACCTCCTCGTCCCCGCACACGTCTGCGGAGGAGCCGGAGGGTCATGGGCCCCGCCACGCGCCCCCTACACCACGAGGACGTGGTCCCCGGCTCACCGAGAGGCGTCTCGTCCATCAAGGACTTGCTGTTCAGGTCAGCCCCGTGTGCCACAAGCAGCTCCACCAGGCGCACCTGTGGGCCGGAGTGACAGGGCTGCTGAGGCCTGCAGAGCCTGTGGGCTCGTCAGCCCACCACCCGCGGGCACTCACCTGGCCCCAGTAGGCTGCCGCATGCAGCGGCTCCCAGCCGTCATGGTCCTTGGTGCTCAGGCTGGCCCGGTGGTCCAGCAGCAGGGCGGCCGCCTCGCTGAACCCGTTGGCCGCAGCAATATGTAGCTGCAGGCACACCACCCGCACCTTAGTCCCGGCTCCACTTGGGGGAGCGCCCTCCCCCACCCGGTCCAGTGCTGCATCCTCACCAGCGTGGCCCCGTGGTCCTGGGGGACGTCGAGGTCGGCCCCCACCTGCAGCAGGTTCCGGATGTCCTCTAGCATGTGCAGCTCTGGCAGGGCCCGGGCCTGCTCGATGCTGTCCTGGGTGATGCCTGTGGGGCAGGGCACTCAGGGCTCACTCTCCCAATGCAGCCTCCCCCACCAGGGGGGTGGGGGGGGTACACTCACCGCGGCTGGCCATGGCTGTCTCCAGGCAGTCCAGTGTCTGCTCATCCTCACACAGGTCATAGGGCATGTTCCCATCCGTGTTGACTGCCAGGAGGTCAGCACCGCTGTGGAGAGGACGGACAGGGTGCTGGTCACGGGGCCTCTGTGCAGGGAGGGAAGCCCTCACCTCAGGCAGCACACTGTGGGGCTGTGTCCAAGGGGCCCAGGCCTCTGCTGAGAGGCAGCCCTGCTGGATGCCCCTGCATCTGTCCTTGGGCTGCTGGACTGTCAGGCGGTCTGAGCTCCCAGCCCCTGGCTCCCATGAATGTGTCAAGTGGGTCCACTTGCCCCAAGGGGTGCCAGGATTCTGGGTGCCCCGGGCCCTCTGCAAGGAGCGGGGTGTCCTCTGTGGAGAGGAGTGTAGTGGGGCTGGCATGCCCAGGCATCTGTGTGTGAGCGGGGAGACAGTCATTCACCTGCACACCCACCACTGACGCCCCCCAAGGCCAGCCGAGGGGGCTCCTGGATCCTGGCGAAGCTGACCACCCTCTCCATTCCCCAAGGCAGGTGTTCAGGAGCCCAGCCCTGCTCTGCCCTCCCCATTACCGGCCCCACCAGTGTCCAAGTATCCCCTTGCCGATTCCTCCCTTGTGACTCTGACCAGAGTGGCATTTCTGTGCAGACCCTGGGAAGGTCAGACAACCAAAGCAGGAGGTCAAAGCCTGCCCTCAGGGAACTCCCGCGGGTGGAGGGCCACGCTGCCTTGCAGCGTGCCAGTTCCCTGCAGAGGCAGCACTGTGGCCTCTGCCAGGCCCCAGCTATGCGCACTGGGGTGCAGGCAGGGCATGCCAGGGCAAGTGGAGACGGAGACCCAGGGGAGAAGCCTGGGCTGTCTCCACATGAGCTGCCCCCTGTGGGGAAGGTCCTGCCTGCCCCAGCCTGAGAGAGATGCCCACTCCAACTACCCATGCTCCCAGCGGGCCCTACCAAGCAATGAGCAGCTCCACCAGGTGCAGGTGGCCACAGGTGGCTGCGGCGTGCAACGGTGTCCAGCACTCACTGTCACGAGCGTTGACCCGGGCCCCAGCCTCCAGGAGCTGCTGCACCATCTCCCGGAAGTCGTCGATGCAGCTCTGCGGAGCGTGCAGCCTGAGTGTCTGAGCCCCCACCGCGGCCCTGGCCTCCCCTCCCACCGCCAGCAGGGCTGACCTGATGCAGGGCCGTCAGGCCGTCCTCATTGGCCAGGTCAGGGCTGACCCCGCTCTCGAGGAACTGGCGGACTGCGGGGAGGACAAAGGCAGTCAGGGCTTGGGAGCAGAAGTTGGCCCGCGGGCCTGTGCGTCCTGCTCAGGCCCCTGCCCGGAGCACCTGGGTTGCGTGCTGTGCTGCAGCCAGGACAGCAGAGGAGCTCACGGAAGGCAGGAGGGACCCCAGAGCCCAGGCTGAGGGCTCGGGGCTGGACCCCCAGGCAGGGTGTAGACAGCAGCCCCCTGCCTCAGCCTCAGAACGCCTCCCCAGTTAGGGCCTTCCAGCCTTCCGACTCCTCCCAGAAAGGGCCCCCCAGGCCTGGGAGCCGGCATGCACCCTCAGACACCCCTCAGTCAGGTCCCATGTTCCCCCAGCCTTACACGCACACACACATGCACCCCTCCCCTGGTACTTGCAGCTCCCCCCACACCTCGGTGGCCAAGACTGAAGACCCAGGGTACCCAGGCCCAGCCCTCCCCAGCTGCAGCCCCTGCCCCACAGCTCCTGTTTGCTGGCTGACCCACGGCCACCGTGCCCAGCCCCCCTTCCCTGCTCTGGGCACACCCTGCCCCTCCTCGCCCTCTTCACCCGAGCTGCCACAGCAGAGGCCCCGCCCTGGAGGGAGACAGAAGGAGCCCTCAGGAGCCTCCCTGGGAGGGCAGAGGGGCTGAGAGCAGGCACACGGCAGCGGCAGGAAGGGGGTCCTGCCTAGCCTGTCCTCCGGGAAGGCTCCGAGGGGGAAGGAAGTCAGAGGCAGAGCTGAGGATGGGCGTCGAGGGGGGCCTGCTGGGCAGCCCTGCACCCTGGGTCTAATCTGCCAGGGGCGGTGGCACATGTCTTTTATGGAGGCGAAGGCTCAGAACCCAGACAGGCAGGCGTCGTGGGCAACTCCCAGCACCCTGGCCAGAGGCAGAGAAGACGGCGGCTCCCAGCCCACCCCGCCTTGGCCCCCGGCCCAGCAGGGCCCTCTGCAGGCTGCCCTGGGCTCCCACTGGGAGGCTGCAGCTCCTGAGGCCTGCGTGAGTAGCGGGGACAGGGCTGCCAGCCAAGCGGGCCCGGACTTCAGCCACACTCACCTTCTTCCAGGTCATTCCGGGCAGCCGCCTCGAGGAGGGTGACGCTGGGCGGGAAGAGCACCCGCTTTCGCGCCGCGCCCTGTGGTGGCTGCCCTGGGCCCCTGCGGCCCTGGGCCTCCTTCTCAGCCTGGGCCCACGCCTTCACCTGCTGGGCCCGTCGCTTCTGGGCATGCTTCAGCCGCTCCTGAGTGCTCATCCTGCCCACCATGGGCATCTCTGCCAGCAGTTCCAGGTGCTCGGCCATGGCGGGGGCTGGCTGCCAGGGGGGGTGCGGGGGGCACCAACCGGGGCAGCACAGGGGCCAGGCTGGGCCTGAGGCGGGGGGCAGCTGGCTGGACTGGCTCCCTCAGGGGCATCCCCTCCCGAGGTTCGTGGCCTCTGTGCCTGGCAAGGCTGGGTCAGGAGGCCCCACGCTGTGACCAGGCCTGGGCAGGTGTGAGGGCCACGGGCCCCAGGCAGAAAGGCGGCGTGGGAGGGCACCTGCAGCCCGCCTCCCGGGGCCCGAGCACCTTGGCCGCTCGATGGGCAGGGCCTTCCACCCGCGTGGGGTCAGGAGGACACCCTGCAGGAAGCAGGCGGGACCTGGCCAGTGTCAGTCCAGGGTCTGAAGCTAATCACCCAGATAACAAGGCTGCAGCTCCCGGCTCCTCACGCAGGGGCAGGGCAGGGCAGGGCAGGGCAGGGCACACACCCCTGGGAGCCCAGAGAGCCCTTGCCTTTCTGTCTTAGGAGACCAGGTGGGGTCCAGGGGCAGCCATGGCCGGGCCTTCCTCCCCCGCCGCCCCCCAGCACCCCCAGCCTTCCGGGTGTCAGTGCTAAGAGGAGGTGCGGCAGGAGGGAGGGCTGGGCGGGTGTGTGTCCAGAGTCCGGGGGTCCTGGCCCCCAGTGCCTGGGGCTGATGCTCTCTAGGCAGGCAGGGCACCCAGGGCCCGGCAACTGTCTTCAGGAAGGGCCCCCTTTGGAGTAGCCAGTGGCTGAGCTGCACACGCAGGTGCTCCCTCCTGCCGACCTGAGAGGAGGAAGCAGGAAGCCATCAGGGCTGGATGGGGACAGGCCACCCCCCCCCCAGAGCCCCGCCCTGTAAGAAAACCTTGTGCGGCCCACTTTCTGGTCCCACACTCAGCGTTTCTCTGCAGCTCAGAGAAAAGAGCAGACGGACAGCATGCCCACTCACAGCAGGCCTCCGGCCAGGAGGCCCCTCAAGGCCCCATATTGGCCCTTGACCCATCTGCCCTCGGGCTGGGCTAGGCAAGCTCACTTTCTCCTGCAGCTCTGCCAGACTCCTGAGGGCGCCCAGGCCACCCTGCTCCTCGGCTGCAGAGGGTGGAGGGCATGGCCTGTGCTAGCCATGAGCTGCTCACCGCCCGAGTCTGGGCCTCTTCCTTGCCAGGCTTTCTAGTTCAGGCCACTCAATGCCCCCTCAGCTGTCCTGGGCTACATGCAAGCCTTGCTTGTGTGAACATGAGCACAGTGGCCTGCCTGATCTGGGAGCTGTCCGGACAGATAGCCGGGCAAGCAGCTTGGCTGCGGCACAGCCCCACAGTCCCCACCATGGACTGTCTTGCCCAGCACGCCTGGTGTGGTCACCAGGCATGGTCTCAGGACACTGCTCAGGAGGCCGTGGCCAGGCCCCACCTAGAAGGTGCCCCTGCAGCTCAGCCTGCCCACCAAGAGGCCCCCTTCCCACTCGGACAGACCTCATGGCCATCTGGAGACTGACCAGCCTTCCTTTGACCAGACTTGTACTAGTGAGTGCCACTTCCTTCTGGAAGGAAACCGTCCTGGGCCAGGTCAGGTCAGATCAGGCCTCTCCAGCCTGGGGACCCCCAGTATACCCAGAGCCTCGCTTCTCGGGTCAGCCTGGCCCTGGACTTGGCTGGCACTCCACTATTCCCTCTGCTAGCCTGGCCTCAGAAGCTTCCTGGGGACAGGATGGGGGACCAGTGAGGCCAGGAAAGAGCTTTCCAGGTAGCACCCCTGCTCCGGGCAGCCCGCCCCCTGCTGGCCAGCTCTGCCAACTGCAGGGCCGGCACAGAAGCTGCCCAGACCCAGACTGCCTGCCTGGGTCTTCCGGTGCCCCGTGTCCTGCCTCTGCCTGCTCCCCACCCATGAGGCCCCGGCCAGACCCAGGTGTGGCAGGGCTTTCTGCCTCCCTGCTGGCCACTCACGGGTCCCTCATGCTCCCCTGGAGAGACTGAGCACCCCCTCCTGCCCACCTGTGGGACGTGCATCTCTCTGGAGTCGGCCTTGGGGCCTGCCAGGGAGGCCGGCCTCAAGAGCCTGTCCCACGAGACCATAAGGAAGGAGCAAGGCTGGCTGCCTTCTGCCTGGGCCTCACCCCCGCCCTACCCCTACTGCCCAGCGGGGCAGGAAGGGCGGGGGCTCGACAGAGACCCGCTCCCTGGGGGCCCCACACCCTCGCCAGGCAGTGCGTGCTGGAGATGCTGTTGGCCTGCTGGGCTGCAGCGGTGGAGCCGGGCACTCGCCCCACTCTGGGGGCCCACCTGCCTGAATCCCCAGGTCCCCTCTGGGTTCCTTCAACAGTGCTCCTTGCAGGAAGCTGCCTGAGGGCAGTCTCTGTGTGACCTTGGGCCTCTGGGCTGCCTCCCCTGAGAGAAAGGTGACCCATCGGCATCCAGGGACCCCGGGCAGTGGGCGTCCATCCTGGGAGCGTCTCCAGGAGGGCAGCACAGTGCCCAGGCCCGCACAGGCTGAGTCTGAGCTCTCTGCCCGCTCCCCCACACAGCGTCTGCCTCTCTGCCACCTCCCCCAGCCATAGTCCAGGAACAGCCCCCTGGAGCCGAAGACTTACTCCTGACTGAGCCACAGAGGCCAGCACAGCTCGGCAGAGTCCCGGCAACTGACCACCTCCCCACACCCAGGCTGAGGGGGGCTGAGCAGGGCAGCTGCAGCCTCCATCCGCAAATCCTGCCCCAAGCCTCCCTGGAATGTCAGAGATAATCTGCACAATTTTTCCAGTTCTCAGCTCCACGCCTGGAGTGTGGGACGAGGTGGGAGGAGCTTTCTGGAAGGACCATGGAGAATGCCCCCCTCCTCTGAGCCAGCACCACCAGAAGGCCTCAGAGTCTGTTGCGAGTGGCCCTGGGCCCTCAGAGTGGACAGACCCACGCCCAGCCTGAGTGCCTCAGGGGCCCCTCCACACCCACAGACACCCTGCCCCAGTGTCTCCACCCTCCACCTGGGAAACTGAGGCCTGGCCTGAACCCTGGTGCCCTGCTGAGACTCCCCCAGGCTGCCTCACAGGCACGCCCAGCATCTGTGTGAGGATCAGGGTCACAGCAAGAGCCGAGCGCCAGAGTGGGCGGGACCTGGGGGGGCAGGGGTGTGACCTGCAGAGAGGGAGAAGTTGGGGAGGGAGGGTGCCCACCTTCCCGCAGGTTCTGGGCCTTCACATTCTGGCTGCTGGGGCTGGTCCCTGTGGCTTTATCGACAAGAGCAAACGGTGGGGCAGGCATGCTCCTGGCTCTGGGAAGGGTGAGGCATGAGGCACCACCTGCAGGGTCACACAGAGACGCGCCCTCAGCAGGGGAGGCCGTGGGGCCAGGGCTCCGTGGCCAAAACCCTGGGACAGAGCTGACCCCTCCCGGTTGCAGGCAGGGACTGGGAGGCAGGACTCCCCTGACCCCACCCTGGCTCTGGCCTCCCGGCGCCCCCCCCTCCCCACCACCCCGCTCAGCTCCCCTGGGACACCGCCAATCCCCACCTAACGGCCAGCTGCCGAGGGCACAAGTCTGCCGGGGGTGCCGCTCGTCCCCGCCCTCTGCACACCCACCGGGTCTGTTTCCAGGGAGAGAGCCGGAACCTGGAGGGAGGCCTCGGGTCAGTGCTGCTCGGGTACGGGGCCAAGGCCCCAAGACAGGGCCTGACTCCTAACCCTTGTCTGGCTGTACAGCTCTGGGGGACCCTGGGTGGGGCGAGGGGCATGGGCCTTAGTGCAGGCACAGGCTGGGCTCTGCGAGGAAGAGGGCATGGTGCCCGGACCCTGTGTTGGCCCCGCGATGGGTCCACCTGGCGGGCCCAGGGGGCGCAGGTGGCGCCGGCGCGGGGGGCCGGGGGGACAGGCTGCGGAGCCAGGAGCGGCTGAAGGCAGGGGCCGGGCCAAGCGGCTGGTGTGGCGAGCATGGAAGGCCTGCTCACCTTCCGTGATCTGGGAGTGCTGCCAAGGGCTCCATCATCACAACACGCATGCAGGGCAGCCCCCAGCAGGCCCGCTCTGGAAAGCTCCAGGAGCTAGAGCCGCAGCAGCGCTCAGCCCTCCTCGTCCACTTCAGGGTCATGACGTGAGGCCCTGAGGGCTGTATGAGGGAGCTATCTATATGCTACCATGCAGAGGTCACTAAGAAGCTGTGTTCAGCGAAGAACCAAGGATTCACAATCTGTGCATGAGACAGGCTTTGCTGCATAACGCCTGTAAACCTGAGATGCACAGGCAGGCCTTGGGGCTGTGGGGCAGGTGACTGAGAGCTCAGGCCACTCCTGCTGTGCAGCTTCTGAGCTGCGTGAGGGCAGATCTCCTCGAAACAATGTTAAGTGCTCTGTCTGGGGAGGGCAGGTGTGAGCACGGCTGTCAGGTATCCGGTCGGCCAGGGGGGCGGGGACGTAACAGGCCCAACAGGCTGTGGGAGCCACAGAGGCTTCCAGATGCATGAGAGGTGTGATCAGATCCAGGGAGCAGAGGGCCCTGGCAGGAGACACGTGGGGACCCACATCCCCGCCTGACGGGGGGGGATGGGGGGAGCGCCTCGGGAGGAGGGCCAGCAAGAGGCGGACGGAGGAGGGAGACCCCTGAGAACTGGGACGGGAAGCATCCAAGGTGAGCAGGGCCACAGACGCCCCTGAAAGAGGGTCTGGAAGGGAGGGGTCTGTGGAGGCACAGACGGGGGAGTCATGCAGGGCTGGGGAGGGGTCTGCAGGAGGCACGAGGGGCGGGACGCATCGCAGACACAGCTGTGCGGAGGGACAACCGCAGGAGGCCCGGACCATCCGTGTGACCCCAGTAAGGGGTGGGCCTTTCTAGCCTGACAAAACCCAGAAACCAAAAGGGAGATTAACAAATCCCATCCTACTAGGTTTTTTTAATGTCCACACTGTGAAAACAAAACAAAGCCTATAAAATCAAAAGACAGATGGGCAACTGGGTAAAATATTTGCAGTAAACAGGACAAAGTGGTCCTCACATCAGTTACAACAGCTGCACATAGATGGAGCACGGACTCCACTGCAAACACCTGGCCGACACTCAATCCAGGCAAGCGGGAAGCAGGACACACCAGCGCGGGGAGACCCTGCCCACTTGTGGACAGCATCCATGGCTGGGTCACAAAGACTGAGGGCATCAGCCAGGAGGATATACCTACTGAGTGCCTACTGAAGTGTAGAGAGCCTTCAACCTGCTCAGCCAAGGTGCCATCCTGCAGGCAGCCCGCCTGGCATGCAGGAGGTCTCCTCATGTGACTCGGCTGCAGTCCCGAGGCAGGGCCCTGCCACCCTAGAGCCTCTCCTGGCATTCGAGGCAGGCAGCACGCAGGCTGCAGGAGAGAAGCAGCCCGGCTCCACGCCCTGACACCCCCCCGGAGCCAAGTACAGCTCAGTCTTTGCTCTCCCGCTTCCCGCCAGCCTTCTCTGGGGGCTGCTTTTTCTCTCCCCACTTCGCCCCCAGGCCTGGAAGTGCCACCCCCTGTTCCTGCTGCAGCCTGCAAGCCCCTGAGTCCTGGCTGACACGTCCATTGGCTGCACCAACCACCCACCCCATCCCTTGCCATGGGCATTGTGCCCCATCGCTGTGTCAGGTCCAAATTCCTGGTGGTCTCAATATCCCCGTGGACTACCCTTCAGCCCCTGCCCCTCCTCAGTGATGACCTCATCCTCAGCCTCAGCAGTACCCTGGACTCCATCACCTCCAGGAACTCCCCCAAACCTGCCCTGGCATTTCAGTTCCATGGCCGGGTTCTCTGCCACCACCCTCTCCCAGCTCACTCCTGACCGCAGCACCCCAGAGCCCCAGCCTGTCTTGTCCTCAAACAGCGGCTTCGAGCTCAGCCTCACAGGCTCCCAGGCCCTGAGCTTGTGGGAAAGTCTTGCCTGGCCCAACACAATGGCTTCGAGGTGGAATGTACCAGTGAAGCTGCTGACTGAAGACCACACTCAGACTTGACAGCCCCAAAGCCTTCCACTCCCTTCTCCCTCATCCTCACATTCAGCTGCTGACATGTTTCCTGACAAGACAGAAGCCATCAGAAGAGGACATCCACCTCCATGAAAAAGCCAGCAATCACGGAGCCCACCACAGGGCCTTCCCAGGCCTCAAAGGCCCCCCACCCCCGGGCCTCCAGCACCCTGGGGAGGACCCAGGACCCGGGCTCCCAGCACCAGCTCCCTGCTCCAGCCTCTTCCTATCAGCAGAGTGATGATCTCAACATAATTCAAGAAACAACAAATCCCACTGGAGGAGATGAGGATGCTTGCTACCACTAGATCTGTTCATACTGTATTGAAGGTTCCAGTCAACGCAACAGGGCAAGAAAAAGCAATAAAAGCAGTAAGAATAGGCAGGGTGAGGGACATCCCTGACAGTCCAGTGGTTAGGACTCGGTGCTTTCACTGATGGGGCCCAGGTTCAATCACTGGTTGCAGAACTAAGATTCCACAAGCCAGATGCTGCAGCCAAAATACACACATACACATGTATATAAAAGAACAGAAAGGGGAGGAAAAAACTCAGTATTTGAAAATGACATATTGTGTATGATAAAAACCTGCAAAGTCCTAAAAAACTATGAGAATATGAGAACACAGCAATAGTGACAGATACTAGGCTAACATACAAAAATAAATATTTGTAAATGCCAGCAACAGTTAGAAGATAAAATTGTAACAACGTTATTTATGTCCAAAAGTGTCAATGTGTATGAATAAATCTAATAAAAGATGTGCAAGACCTCCACAAAGAAGACCACTGAAACTTCTTAGAGTTCACAAGAGAACAACCAAAAGGGACAGACCACACGTAGAGATCAAAAGACTATGAACCATAATGATGCCATTTCTCCCCAAATTTACCCAAGACTCAATGCAATCCCAGTTAAAATCCCACTAGGTCTATTTGAAACTCAAACAATTCTCCATTTAACAGGGAATGCCAAAAGGCAAGACTTGTCAGTGAAACCGTAAAAGAGGACAACATGCAGTACTTAGAGAATGGAGCCAGGGGACAGAAGGGAGTCCAGAAACAGACGCTCGGCTATGACAGTGCCCCACAGCAGGGCAGGCCGTCTCACTCAACGCGGCGGGCCGGCCCACGGTGCGAGGAGATGCTCACCTTCACCCCCGCCCAAGCTGGGCATCCACACGTGACTGGTGAAGCCGGGCCCACGGAGACCTGACGCCAAAAGCACAGTCCGCTCGATGAATGAGACAGGTCTCAGCACAATTGCAGTGTTCTGTCCTGCGGGGGACCTGAGGAGGAGACAGGCTGTAGACCAGGGAGCAAACGGTGACGGACCCCACGGCAGGGTCCCACTGCGCCTGCTCCTTCACCCCACAGCCACCACCCACAGCGCCACAGCCGCCGCTCCCCCCAGGCAGACCTCTGAGGGACGGGCGGGGTGACCCACACAGCCACCCGCTGCCCACCTCCAGGAAGGAAGGAACACCCAGGCCAAGTGAAGTGTGGGCACAGAGGCCCAGAGAAAGACTCCTGGCGGGTCTGAGGGCAGGGGGGGCAGGCAGGCAGGTGTAGGGAGGCGCAGGGCATGGCCGGCCCTCACCTCCGGGAGGGGCAGTGACCACACTGAAGGTGAAGCTGGGGTACCAGCCCAGGCCGCTCCCTCCAGCCCGCTCCTGCCCCAGCCCCTCTGGGCCTGCACCTCACGGGCCCCTGCCTGCTGCCCTGCCCCTGGTCAGGGGTCCAGCTCTCTCCACACTCAGCCCTGGGGCATTGAAAACACAAGCCTCAACCCAGTCACCCCTCGCCTGAAATGGTCCAAAAGCCCTGCTGGCCCCGTGAGGTCCGTGCAGCTCAGCCAGCCCATCGAATCCCAGGCCAGGCCCGCTCCCAGCCCGGCCCTCAGCGGCCCTGCCCATTGCCCCACTATCGGGCCTGTACCCGGGATGAGCTTTTCCACACAGCCTCCCGCAGGGTATCGGGGTGCCCTCTTAAAATCTTTTTATTGTGAAGTGTGATACTATGAAAATGAATAAACAGAAACCTCATTTACAAATCCAGGCAGGGGATCTCCCCAGTGGATAGGACTCCACACTTCCACTGCATGGGGCCCAGGCTTGATCCCTGGTTGGGGAACTAAGATCCCACAAGTCATCGGGCGGAGCCAAAAAGACAAATAAAAATAAAGCAAATGAAATAAGAGAGAATCCAGCAGCCAGAAGGGAGCACTCTCACACCCTGTCACTTCAATTGCAGGTCCCACAGGGGCAAGGTTACTACAACACTACCTGGCAGGACAAAAGCAGATTTTCTCCCCATCTGGCAACAGCGCAGCCAGTGAGAAGCACCACACTCAGTTTCCTCCAAAGGGCTCTCTGTCCATGACAGCTCCTCACACCCCCCTTCTCCTCCTTAAGTTTCCTCTCCTGTGTCCTCTATGCTTGCCTGTGGTTCCCCATGGGCTACAGGTCCTGATTTGCGGTTGTTTGCTCCTCTGAAATAAATCCATTTCCCTGATAAAATAACTGGTTGTTTTAAGTCAGTAATACAAGTCCTGAAAGTGCAAAAATCACAATGCACAAAAAATGGAGATGCAAACCCATGTGAGCTCCACCCCATCAGGATGGCACCAAGCAGCTCAGAGCCCTCTTACACTCCTCCATGTAGTGACCACCACCTCGCCTTTCTTCATGCCAACACCCTCCACGCCCCTCCTGAGCTCAATCTGGTGCTGACAGGCCGGAGTTCCATATGGAGCCGTGCCCCGTGCTCTGGGCTGCCTCACCCCCACTGTGTGGGATTCACCCACTCCAAAGCGTGTAGCTCCAGGCTTTCTCCCTTTGGCTGAGTAACAGCCCAAGAGGAGCCTGTCTGCACAGCCCAGGGCACACTCTGATGGGTGTGGGCCTGTGAACACCCTATCCACTGACACTGGTGTACAGTCGCCAACCACAGGCTGCGACGTGAGTCAACAGACACTACCACTGCTCTCCAAACCTATACCAGTTTCTCCTCCCAACAGCCAAGGGGAAACAGTCCAGTTGGTTTTATTCTTTTTGTCACTCTTTGCGCAGTGCTCAGTTTGCAGCTGGCTGAGTATTAATGGAATGAGACATCTTTCTGAAGACAAGTCTCCTATACTATCTTCTAAAGGGAGGCTAGTCTGCATCACATTTAGTTCTGCAGTCCACCTGGAGCTAATGTTTGTGTCTGGTGTGAAGAAGGAAATCTGTGGAGTTGTAAAATATGCCTGCAGAGTAACCGACATGCCTCCCTTCAAAAGGTAGACCTAGTCCTCCCCCCACCGTTACTGTGGGTGGTGGCACTAACGCACTTGCTCAATGCCCATGGTCAGAGTGTGAAAGGCGCCCTGACCGCACCCCTGCTCTCCCCCAGGCTACTCACTCAGGGGGAGCCAGCCACCCAGAAGCAGACCCTTCCTCCGAGTCGAGCCTGCAGATGTGGGAGAGAAGCGCTGTGTCTGAGGGCAACTGTTGGACATCAGTATTTAACTACTACAGGCTCCAATTTCATGTTTGTTCCATGAAAGTGATAAAGTGTTAGTCACTCCATCGTGTCCAACTCTTTGCAGCCCCATGGGCGGTAGCCCACCAGGCTCCTCTGTCTGTGGGGTTTTCCAGCAAGAACACTGGAGTGGGTTGCCCTTCCCTTCTCCAGGGGATCTTCCTGACTCAGGTATTGAACCCAGGTCTCCTTCACTGCAGGCAGATTCTTTACCGTCTGAGCCACCAGGGAAGCCCCTTTTTATTCTGTATTTATATCCAATTGTCCCAGCACCATTATTTAAAAGTTGCTTCTCTCCATGTTGTTCTACAGTGCCACTTTGGTAATAAATTAAGTTCCTATACATACATGTGATTCAATGGACATGAGTTTGAGCAAACTCCGGGAGACAGTAAAGGACAGGGAAGCCTGGCATGCTGCAGTTCACAGGGTCACAAAGAGTCGGACACGACTTAATGACAGAACGACAACATACATGTGAGCCCGTCAAGACTTCTGACTCCATCCCACCAGTCCCTACAACATCCTACCCGCTGTGGCTTTGTAATGAGTCTCCTCTCTGGCTCCCCAGCCCTCTTTCTTGCTGGGGGCGCTAAGTCCTGCTCACCTTCTGGCCTTAGCTGCCCTTCTGACCCACCCGTGAGATCTGAGTCCTTTCTCAGACTCCCCTCAACAGTAGAACCACAGGAAAGTGAAGCCCTTTCAAAGCTGTGACCTATAAACGTGACATTTCCTTTGGCTTAGCTACAGCTGCCCAGCCTCTATCCTGTGAGGGACGATGAGCCCAGGATGCTGGCACACGTGTACACGTAATGCTGGCAGCTGCCTTGGCCCAGGGCCAGAGCACATACTGGAGGCCACTTGGACCATGGAGGAAGGGGCTGCACGTTCAGCAGCAGTGTTGTGGGGGCTGGAAAATCTGGAAGGGTCCCTCACCGAAACCAGGGGAGCCCCAAAGCTCCCTCCTCCACTGCCTTTCCGTCAGCCACCCACCCCTAAGAAAATCGAAAGCCCAACTCACAGCAAGGTATGAGAAGTCTAGACGGCCAAATGAAAGAAGTTAGGCAACTGGAGGCACCTGCATGTCAAGAGTCTCGGAGAACCAAGGATAGACGCCAGCCCTGGCCACTCTCACTGCCGAGGGCCTGGGTTCCATCCTTGGTTGGGGAACTAAGATCCCACGAGCCACACAGAACAGAGGGGAAAAAGCCCAGCCCTCTCTCAGCTAAGAGGAGAAAGGACGGCTTCCAGAGGCCTGAGCACCACACCTTCCCAGCGGCCAGGTTCCAGGCTCGACGCCCCGCCGCCCACAGCCATGCGAGCCTCATGATTCCCGTGCAGTCTGGAAACGAAAGCTTGACAATTCAGCAGTGTCCAAACCAGAATACTGGAAGTGGGATTTGGAGAGGGCAGCGTTGGGACGCTCGGCCTAAGAAGAACAGGTGCACAGGCTCTGGACGGCCACGGGTGCACACACGTGTCCCCACGAACCAAGGCAAGCTGATGGTCTGTTTACAGGTGCCTGACATGAGAGGGAAGAATGGTGGGAGCCCCGTGACTGGGGGCCGTGGCAGGGAGAGGCGTCTGGAGCAGCCTGAGGCCAGAGACTCTCCAGCAGACCTGAAACACGACGCTGCCGACCCTGTGAGCCTGAGTGGTCATCTAGGCGTCCCGTGAGGCGACAGCTGGTGCACAGCATCTGGCTCTGCAGACAGAAAGACTGACATGTCTCCAGCTTCCGCGCCACGGGGCAGTGCACTCAAGTGCAGAGTAAACGTCACTCTGCCAGCCATGCAGCGTGAAACCAAAGGCATGCTCCACTTCCGGCTGTATAAACAGAAGAACTGGAGGCCGGGACTCAGCTATTTGAACACCAATGTTCACAGAAAAACTGTTCACAATTGCTACAAAGCAGAAACAACTCCAGTGCCCAATGCCAATGGACAGATGAAGAAATAAGATGTGGTACATATACATACACAATGGAATATTCAGCCATACAAAGGAATGAAATCCTGACATATGCCAGAAATGTATCAAATAAAAGGATACATGTATGATTTCCTTTTACATAATAGGTAAATTCAGACATAGAAAGCAGGGGTTGGGGCAGCTGGTGTAAGGAAATAGTGTTGAATGGACAGAGTTTCTGTTTCAGGTCATTCAAAAGTTCTGGAAATTAAGGATGGTAGCTGCACAACACTGCAAATGTATTATTCAAGTAAACAGACAATATGCTGGAATGCAACACAAGATTCAGTGAGTTTACATGGAATGAAAGCATATAGAGAATGTTCACTGACCACAACAGAACTAGTCTATAACTCGATAACATAAAAATATCTGGAAAAATTCCCAAATATTTGGAAACTTTAAAGCATACTTCTAAATAACCTACAGGCTAAGGAAGGAATCAAAATGGAAAGTAGAAGATATTTTGAACTGAATGAAAATGAAAACACATCAAATACAGTAGATGCATTTAAAGCAGGGCTTAGCGCTTCCTCACTGGAAGAACCCATCTGCCCCTGCAGAGGACACAGGTTTGGTCCCTAGTCCGGGAAGACCCCACACGCCAGGGGGCAAGCAAGCCTGTGAGCCATGACTACTGAGCCTGTGCTCTGGAACCCTCAAGCTGCAACTCCTGAAGCCCACACACCACAACTAGACAATAGCCCCCACTCAGGATTAAAGACCCAGAGCAACCAAAAATAAATAAATAAAACAAAGCAGGGTTTAGAAGAAAACTTCTAATTTTGAATGCGTAAATAACAGGGATGGTCAAATCAATCACCAAAGCTTCCAACTTAGTAAGAAGCTAGAAAAAAAGGAGAAAATTCAACCCAAACTAAGTGAAGGGAATTAATAATAAGAACAAAAAAGTAATGAAACAGAATAAATGGGGAATTCCCTGATGGTCCAGAGGTTGGGACACCATGCTTCCACTGCAGGGGCCACAGATTCAACCCCTGGTCGAGGAACTAAGATCCCACATGCTTTGTGGACCAAAAAAAAGAGAAAGAAAACAGACAAAAAGAGAATACTAAAACTAAAAGTTGTTCCTTTGAAAATATTAATAAAATCAATAAGACTCTCACCAAACTGATCAAGAAATGAAGACAAAAACGACCAAAATCGTGAAAGAAATACAGGCTCACTACAGATCCTACAGACAACTAAATGGGAACGTTCTGAACAATTTATGATCATAAACTTTAACAACTTAAGTCAGGGATCAACAAACTACAGCCTATGGACCACATCAGCTTACCATCTCTTTTGTAAATGAAGTTTTATTAGAAAAAACCATGCTCAATTGTTCATGTATTGTCTATGGCTGTTGTGTGTTAGACAAAGAACTGAGCAATCACAACAGAGACCATATGGCCTGAAAAGCCTAAAATATTTACTATTTGGCCCTTTATATATATATTTTAAAAAACTGCCATGTTTGACTTAGATAAATGGGCAAATTATCTGAATGAAACAAATTATCAAAATGGAATCAAGAAGAAATAGAAAACCTGAACAGTCCTTTAACTATTAAAGGAATTAAATTTCTAATTAAAAACTTTCCCACAAAGAAACTCCATAGTTTGCTATTTAAACAAGAAAATCAACAGAAGCAGAAAAAGACTTGGAAAAATTCAGTATCCATTCATGATTTTTGCTTTTCTTTCTTTATTTTTTTTCCATTCATGATTAAAAAAAAAAAAAACCTTAGAAAACTAGGAATAAAAGGAAAAACCCTCAATCTGGTAAAACCCTCGGGACTGAGAGCAAGGAAAGAACATCGACTCCTACCACTCTTACTCAACACTGCAACCCCCAGGCAGTGCACTAAGGCACGAAATAAAAAGCATACAGATGGAAAGGAAGATGACACCTTAGATGCAGGAGGCATGTAGAAAGATTTGTAGAAAATCCTTAGAAATCTGCAGCAGGGCTACTCGAACAAATGACTATATTTAGCAAGGTTGCAGGATACAAAGGACAGTACACCAAAATCAAATTTATGTCTCTGAACTAGTAACAAAGGATTGGAACATGTAAAATGTTAAATATATCATTTGCAAAATTAGTGTCTCCAAACAGAACGGGTGCTGACACTGGCTGCTGAGGGCAGAGCCTGGTCTACTTCCCCCTCAATACGGCTTGAACACAGTTAATCAATCACTTCTAAGAAACAGACGGAAACAAAGCCTGAAACCAGGTGGTGCCAGCTCCAGACCAGGTCCTGGAGGGCAGTGCAGCCTCTCGCTTGCGGGCCTGGGGGTGAGGCTGCCCAGCGGCCGGGAGGGCGGGACCAACAGCCTGGCTGGCCCTCAGGGAGCCGCCCGGTGGAGCATCCCGAACGCGCCCGAGACCTGCAACCAGAACCACTCAGCCAAGCCACTGTACAATTCCTGACCCATGGCAGCTGTGAGAGAACAAAAATTCATTGCTTTAAATCATAATGTTTAAGGGTAATTTGTTATACAGCAATAGATAATTAATACAGAGACCTACATAAATGGAGCAATATGTACCATGCTCTACATTCTTACAATGTCAATTCCTCCCCTGCCAGATCCCTAGCTTCGGTACAACCCCAGTCAAAATGCCAGCAAGCTCTTTTTGAGAAACTGACAAGCCAATTCTCACATTTACATAGAACTACATCATATCTTGAAGAGCCAAAATGATTTGAAAAAGAAAAACCAAGTTGGAAAAGTACTTATACTTGACCTTAAGACTTATTTTAAAGCTAAGATAATCAAATCTGCAGGATATGAGCAATAAGATCAATGAATAGAGAATCCAGAAGTCCACCCACACATACTGTCAGCAATGGAGTTAAGGTAACACAATGGGGAGAGGGTGGCCTTTCAAAATGGTGTTGGAATGCCCAGTTATCAAAGGAAAACAATGACCCCTGACCTCTTGACCATTAAAGAAAGCATAAACCATAAAGGAAAAAAAAATAACAAACTGAACTTCATCAAAATTATAAGTATTTGTCTGTTTAAGACACTGGTGACAAAATTAAGTCAAGCCACAGACTGAGGACATTTTTTCAATACTTGTATCTGGCAAAGGACTTGCACCCCACACATATAAGGAATTCTTAAAGCTTGATGAGACGACCCATTTTTTATGGGTGAAACGTCTGGACACGTCACAAAATAAGATATACAAATGACCGAGCAGGCAAATGAAAAGATGTGCAACACCATTCATCATTAGGAAATGCCAACTCAAGGCACAACAAGCCATCAACACTCACAAGAAAGGTTAAACTTTCAAAGAATGACAAAAGGACACAGAACAACTGGGAATGTAATATGATTTCCCATTTTAGAAAATAGTTGTGGCACTTTTTGTATAGAGTGAAATACAAGTACACACTTCAACCATCATTTCTGTAATCTCAACCCAAGAGAAATAAAGTGTATGTCCATACAAAGACTGGTAAACATGAATATTCACAGCAGTTTTATTCACAATAGCCGAAAACTGGAAGGAACCGAAATGTCCATCAACACGTGTGTGTATGGAGTAAACAGAGTACCTATACAATGGAATACCAAACCATCCAGCAAGAAAAACAATGAACTATGGAGACATGCAGCAATCTGAATTTCCAAAACATTCTGTCTGGCGAAAGGAAGTCAGACACAAAAGTCTTCATCCTGTATGCATCCACTTATGTGAAATTCTAGGAAAAGAAAACAGGGACAATGAATCTATAAAAACAAAAGCAGATCAGTGGTTGCCTGGGACAGGGAAGACAGTGGACTGAGCAGAGGGAAAGGGACTTTCAGGGATGAGGGAAATGTTCTGTGTCTGGATTATGGTGGCATTTACAAGGAGCACACATCTATCAAAACCCACCAAATTATTTTATATAGGTGCCTTTTATTATATGTAAACTACACCTCAATAAAGTTGGATGTATAAAAATAAAAGCATACAACCTAAGTCTTCCCCTGGCCTCTAACTCCACGTGATCTGGCTCCTCCTGGCCTTGTCTCCTCCCACACCTCTTTCCACTACCCACTCAGCACTGGCCTACTTCCTGCTTCCTGCACCTTGGGGACCTCGGCTCCAAACCACAGAGGCTGGGAGCTGAGCTCGGGAAGCACACTCTGCGTTTAAAGTGCCAGGAGCAGAGGGCACTGGTCAAGTTTGCTGGCCTCTGAGGGAATCAGTCTCCTCCTCTGTAAACGGAGTGGTAGCACCTTCCTTATAAGGCTCTTATGAGGGCTCAATGAGCTACGACATAGCACTTTTCGGTATCTGGCCCAGGGGCTGGCAAACTGACCCACTGTCTGCTTTGGTATGGCCCATGAGGTGAAAATGGTTCTGACTTTAATGATTGGCAAAAAAAGAAAAAGAATATTTGGTGACACATGAGTATTATGTGAAATTCAAGTGTCAGCATCTGTCATGTAAAGTTTTGTGGAAACAGAGCACATTAACTTGCATATTGTCTGTGGCTTCTCTTCCACAAAACAGCAGAATAGCTGCCACAGGGATCACGTGGCCTGCAAAGCATGAAAAACTGACTCTCTGGCCCTTCACAGAAAAGCTCTGCCGACCCCAATCTGCCACCCCATTGTCGTGCCCCTTTCTGTCAGCTGTCTGGAAAGTTCTTCACAAGATCTCAGCATAGCTCTTTCCTTTCTGCAGCTCAGATCCCAGCTTAAACACTGCCTCCTCAGGTCCCCTGCGGTCAACCCGTCACTCTGGGGTGTCTTCACCTTGCTTCCATTGTTGGCACTAGTCACCGTTTTCTTCCCCGAGCCCCGGGCCTGACCTGCAGGAAGTACACACTACCGCAGGAGCTGATGGGTTCCCGACACTGAGGGATGGCGCAGAAGTGGACGCAGGTGAAGCCCAGCCCAGGACTGAGCCGCTGGGTGGATGAACTGTCACTCAGCTATGAGTGCAGCTCTGCCAGGGCTGGGCTTGGCACTGGGATGCAGTGCCTGCAATGGTGACACATGCAGTGCCCATGCGCCCTGAGCACAGCCCGGAGCAAACGCAGGAGGCCCGTGGCCACAGCGACGCTGACCACATGCCCTGCCAGCGCAGAAGGGCCATCCAGACATACCGGATGGTCTGCAGGAGCTTCACCAGGGCTCACCTGCTCCTCCTTCCAAAACAGGAGGAGGTTCTGGGGGTGGGTGGGGGTGAGTCTTACAAAGCACCCCATACAAAACCCACCCAACAGCAGTGGTCAGATCAAAGAATGACCAAAGTCTCGGACAGTCCCGGCAATCTGTGTCTGGCACAGCCCCCCAGGAAGCACGCAGCCCAGACTTGCTGTCTGCCGCTGGGCCTCACCACGTGGCCAGTACAGGGCCCGGCAGCCGAGCGCCTCCTCCTCCCCGACCCGTCGTCCCAGACGTCTGTGGAATTAGACTTGACTGTCCCTCTGTCCTTTTTTCTCAATCCGATGTGCTGGCAGGGCCGTTCCTGAGAACACAGAGCTTGGGATGGGAGACGGAAGCTCACTCTCACCCCTCCCCGCCTCCTCCACCACTACTGCAGGGGTTCAGGAGGGTGGAGACCCGACACACAGGGCAAGGTGATTAGGAGTGGGGTGGGGGCAGAGGAGGGGGCGAGTGTGCAAAGACAGGCATGTCATCCTGCAGTCTCTGAAGAAGGATGTTCAGGAAGGACAAGGATCAGATCTGCATTTCGGACCCATCACTCTGCCTATGGTGAGAAGAATGGAGTCAAAAGCGCTGAGTCGGAGCCCAGAAGAGCGGCCAGGAGCAAAGGCTCCCATTACAGAAGGAGGTGCAGGCTGCTGGTACAAGAGATGGACAGGACAGCCAGGATCTGGGCAACTGAGCAAAAAGTCTGAGAGAAGACACTACCACCCAGACATCTTGCTTTGGCTAACAGGTGGACCGGGGCAGAGGTACTGGAGTGGGGAACTCTTGGGGCGCAGGTGCTGTGCTAGGTCACCACAGGCTCATCTGAGACTGAGGTTCCAAAGCTGCACCCAGTGAGATTCAGAAATCCCTAGAAAACAGATACCAACGTGGAGCCCACAGGTACCAAGGGCCTCTTGCTGGGCTCCTGCCAGCCCAGGAACCTTCCGGAGGAGCAGAGTCCAGGCAGGTGAGGGAGGAAGCCAGGGCAGGTCCGCAGAGAGCGCACAAGGAAGGAGGGATGGACCTGCTGATGCTGCTCCATCCCAGCTCTGAGCAAGAGCCGCCAGCACACCGGAGGCCGGCAGGGAGCTGGCTGCTCGCGGGGCCAACGCGGTCCAGGATCCATCAGGGAGCCATCCGCCCATAAGGCGACTCTCTCCAACCTAGGGTTCCCCTCGCTGCCCCTGAAGTAAGCCAGGAGGCCAGCCAGGGGCACAGAGGTCCTTCACAGCTCTCCCAGGGAGCTGCATCTCAGGGAGCAGAGGGGCTGAGAAGTGCAGTGCGGGCCCCCACTCCACCCTCAAGCTAAGGACGGGGGAGGGGAAGGAAGGCCCAGAGCTCCGGAGAGGGCTAGCCAGAGCTCGGCCCTGGCTCCCGCTCCCCCACACCTGGAACGCCTCCGCACCCACAGAAACTAACCCCAGAGTCACCGCAGCTTCCACTGCAGGACAGGGAGGGGCCCCGCCGGCGTGGACCTTCCCGCCCAGGCCCGAGCGCCTCCGAAGCCGCGCCGGCCAGCGCTCGCCGAACAGCGGTGGCTATTCCAGCCCGGACACCCATCGGTGGGCTGGAGCCCAGGATCCCCACCAAGGAGGTCACTAGAACCCCTGGAAGTTTAGGAATTTGGCCCAGAAAGGCTCAGGTTTTTCCTCTGGCATCGCTCCAAAGCACACACGAAGCCTGGCAAGTACCTTCTCTGCAGGCCCGAATGTCCTCGGCTGAAACGGAGCTAACTCCGGTGCTGCCTACCTGGCCAACAGGTTACACGGCTGAAAACCCCGCATTCGGCTCAGCCGCGAACAGCGCCCCGGGCCGGCCTTCACGGCCGCCACTCCAGGAGCCTTCCCGACCCTCAGCACCGGCGCCGAGCGGGGCCTGGGCGGCCTCCCGCCGGGATCCCAGCCTCCCGGTTTCCCCGCCCGCCCGCAGGCCCCGGAAGTCCGCGCCTTACCTTCCGCCTCGCGCCAGCAGTCACCTCGCAGCCGATCCTAGCCAGTCCGCGGGTCCTTTTGCCCAGCGCTCCTCCCGGCGCCGCGGGGGCGGGCCCGCGCCCGGCCCTTGCCATGGCAACGCGAAACTTCCGGCCCGCGCGCTCCAGGACCGGAAGTCGCCGCGCGGGGGCGGAGTCGAAGCGCGCGGGGGCGGGGCTTGCCCAGAGCGACTGGGGAGGCTGCGGACCGCTGCTTGGGCAGGGGACAGAGATGGCCGGCCGGCAAGGGGAAAGCCTGCCGGGGCGAGAAGCGCAAGTAGTCACAAGTTTACCAGGAGGGTGGTCGTCTGATTACGCTGATCTTTTCAGGAAGGCTCCGAGTTCACTCGACAAAGCAAGGGCATTACGCGGGGAGAGCATGCGCCAAGGTGGAACAGTTGAGGTGGTGGTTTAGGAGGGCGGGGCCCGCTCTGTGGGGTATGTGCTGTCAGCGATGAGTCGTCAGGACTTCAGGAGCCTTGAACGCCAAACCAAGAGCTGGGCTTTATCCTGCAAACAAGGAAGGGACAGTGGAGGAAAAGCGGTGCCTTAGACCTGTTGGAGAAAAAGACCTCTCAATGACTGAACTGGGCTAGGAGACACAAGAACCTCTCAGCTAGAGCCCTGGAAACGAACAGGACTTGAAGAGGTGACATGGGAGTCTAGAGGAAGCCAGATGAAATATGAAGAATCTGATAATAGAGGTAGCAGTGTAGCACCCCAACAGCAGCATCTCGGCCCCAGGCTTCCTCCTCCAGAGCACCCATCACCCATCCCTTCTCCCAGCACCTCAGTGAGAGCTGCGCACCCACTGTATGCTCCAGATTTTCAGCCCTCTAAGGGTATAACTGGGGGCAAACTGGGCAGGGGGAGTGCTGCTGCTGCCCAAGAAAAATCTTGAGTAAAGTTATATAAAGTGTGTCCTTGTGCTTCCATGGCTTCCCTTGGGTCTGGGGGTTCTAATAGCAACATCCCACCACTGCTGGTGTCCTGGGCCTGATAAATCCCTTGTGCAAATTTGCCCAGTCCTCCGGGGGGGGGGGGGGGGGTGGGGGAGGCTTTGGGGTAGCATACAGAGCAGGGTACAGAGCACTTGAGGGGCAGAGCCACAGATCGGGCCAGGGAGGAGGTGAGGGGACAGAAGTGTCTGGGACCAGAAGAACCATGTCTCAGGGCTGCTGCCAAACACACTTTTCCAGGGCTGCACCTTTGGGCCAGGCCCTGTGCCTGCTAAAGCACTTAGAGGCTCTAGCCAGGCCTGAGCAGGGGGTGCTGGCACCACAGGCTTCATGGGGCTCAGCCTCCACTCCTCCCAGAGTGCCGCTTCTCCACTCAGGCCAGACCCCACCAGCCCGGGGAGCATCTCCCTCCTCCTAGCGTAAGCTGCAGGGCACTGGGAAGCCCTGTGTACCCACACACAACACAGCTGTCCTCACTCCTGCCCAGGGTGATGCCAAGTGGTCCTCCCAGGCTCCCCTGGGCAGGAACCATGATCCACAGGGATGTATTCTCAAGGCGTGGCCCCAAGAGGTATCCAGTAAAGCCCTACGGCTAGAAGGCCTTCCCTTCCATGCACACCCACCCAGGGGCACTGCCTGAGTGCCCCAGGGGACCACGTGACCTCCTCCTCTGGAAAACTTCCAAAGGATCTGGACCCAGAGGCCCAGAAGAGGGGGAGAAAGACAAACGTGCTTCCAGGAAGTTCTCTCAGGCCAGGGAGGTCCAGCTGTCCCAGGGCCACTGAGGTGCAGATTGAGTGCACAGTGAGGACCCACTGTTGACCAGCACCAAGGAGGGAAGGAAAATGGCCTCCAGGACCTGGGGAGCCTGCTAGGGCCCTGCAGCAGCCTGTGGGAAAATTCCTTGAGTCAACTGTATCTGTCTCTTATTTATGAGTTTTCCTCCAGGAAGCCCTCCCAGACCACCATCCAAGTCCTGCTAGCTGCTTGGTCTTGAACCCTGAGCAGGACCCACCCCTTCTTGGCAGCTCATCTTGGACCAATCACTCCTCTGTTAAATGGGAGCCTGAGATCTGGGTGGGATAAAGTAAGTGTGTGTCATAAGCCCTTCCACGGACTTTTCTTTCCAGCTCTAGGGGGGTGCCCAGGGCAGCCCAGGGGTGAGGAATGGGGCCTGGGTGGCCGCCGCAGCCCCCACTGGAATCTTCCCTGCCCTTTCCCTCCCTTCCAGATTAACCGAAACCTGCTAATTGTGGCTGCCCTCAGCACGCTCCCCTCCCCCATCGCGTATTTCTGCCTCCCCTCCCCTCCCCCTTCCATCCGAATGATAAAGGGCTTGGCCCGCCAGCCCCCGCCTGGCCTCAGGTCCCAGCTCTGCCTCCCCACACTACCACACTACCCCGTGCCCAGCACCCACTGCCCGGCTGGGCCTCTGCCCACGTTTCCTGCTTCCCCTGCATGGGGCCCTGCAGCAACCCCCGCCTGGGGCTCCCCGAGGGGGATTCGCCCTCCCAGCCCCCCAAAAGGAGGAAGAAGAGATACCTGCGGCATGACAAGCCCCCCTACACCTACTTGGCCATGATCGCCCTTGTGATCCAGGCTGCACCCTCCCGCAGGCTGAAGCTGGCCCAGGTGAGAGGACCCCCGCCCGCTCTCCCTCGCACTCGGTGATCGGACCTGTGCCCCTACGCGTCCTCCAATGACCTGAGGCTCAGGCTCCGGCCTCCACCCTGACCTGGCCGTCCCCAGCCATACCAGGGGGGCCAGTCCCGGCCTGGGCACCCAGGGAGAGAACTAAGGTGCTCGGGCAGACCCCTTCCTGGCGAGGCAGGCCACACAGTGGTGAAAGGAGGGGCAGCGTTGCCCCCGCCCGCGCGCCCGGGCTCACGGCGCCCACCGCCCACCCAATGGTTTCAGATCATCCGTCAGGTCCAGGCCGCGTTCCCCTTCTTCAGGGACGATTACGAAGGCTGGAAAGACTCCATCCGCCACAACCTCTCCTCCAACCGGTGCTTCCGCAAGGTGGGGCAGGGCGAGGGTCAGAGCCTGGGAGCGGGACGCCGGCGGAAATCCTGATATCCGGGGTCGTGCAGCCCCACCCAAGACTGCTCCCCTCCCCCACCAGGTGCCCAAGGATCCCGCGAAGCCCCAGGCCAAGGGCAACTTCTGGGCGGTCGATGTGAGCCTGATCCCGGCCGAGGCGCTGCGGCTGCAGAACACGGCCCTGTGCCGGCGCTGGCAGAGCAGGGGCGCGAGGGGAGCCTTCGCCAAGGACCTCGGCCCCTACGTGCTGCACGGCCGGCCCTACCAGCCGCCCAGTCCCCAGTCGCCGTCCTGCGAGGACTTCAGCATCAAGTCTCTGCTAGGGGGCTCCGGGGAGGGGACGCCGCGGAGCAGCCCCAGTAGGTCAGGCTCAGAGCGCTCAGGGGAGGGAGAGCTGCCTGCTGCACTCCCGCCCTCTGAGAAGCCTCTGTGGCCCGTCTGCCCCCGCCCAAGGCCCATCAGGGCAGAGGGGAAGACTTCCCAGGGGGAAAACAGCAGGCCCTCCATCCTGTCCCCTGAGCCCAGGGCCTGGCCTCTCCACTTACTGCAGGGCACCGCAGACCCCGGGGTTCTCTCTGGTGGAGGTCACAGGGCCTCGCTGTGGGGGCAGCTGCCCACCTCCTACTTGCCCATTTACACTCCCAACGTGGTGATGCCTTTGGCCCCACTGCCACCCACCTCCTGCCCCCGGTGCCCTCCCTCCACCAGCACAGGCTATTGGGGGGTGGCCCCAGAAACCCATGGCCCCACAAGGCTGCTCTGGGATCTAGATGCTCTCTTCCAGGGGGTGCCACCCAACAAAAGCATCTATGATGTTTGGGTTAGCCACCCCCGAGACCTGGCTACCCCCACCCCAGGCTGGCTGTTCTCCTGGTATGGCCTGTGATGCTCCCAGGGCAGGGGCTGCTTTCCTCTGCCACCCTTAGGCTTGTTGAGGAGAAACCAAGGTCTGTGTGACCCTGGCAGCCTGAGACAGAGGCACCAGCCACGCTGAGAGTCCACTTGTTTATTGGCTGCCCCAGAAGAGCTATGGCCCAGCAGGGCATCACCCTAGAGGCAAGGCTGGATGGAGCAGGGCTCTACCTGGAGTAGCCCTTCCTTTCCCCTTCCTGGCCCCACCTTCTCCAACTCTCCTTCCATCTATCCATCCATCCATCCATCCATCACCAGCTGTCACCTCCCCTCCCTGGCTTGGGCTGGGGGAGGGAAAACCTAATGGGGCTCCAGCCTAAAGCCCTGTCCTCCCTCAGCTGTTGCCTGGGAAAGAGGAAGCACCTTTGGGGGGAAGGGGATCGAGAATGGAGACTCTACTTGGCTTTGGTGATGGTGGTGGGGAGGTAACAGTAAAGGAATAGACATTTCAACCCAAGTCTAATGTGGTGATGGGATAGTGACTCTGGTGACCACTTGGCCGCGGTCTGCATCTGCGGCCCTGGGATCCCCTGCTGTGCACCGCGATAACAGCAGATGGTGATACGGGGGCGGGGGAGGTGTGATCATTACCCCAGGCAGAGCACTCCTCCAGGGTGGGAGCAGTGGCCCCCAGAGATCAAGGAAGTCATGAGGAAATAGGGATTTTGCTGCCTCTGCCCGCAGAGATGTGACCCAGGCTCCTTGGGCAGGACTAGGAAGGCAGGTCCTCCGGCGGTGCCAGGGCCGAGCTGGAGCCGCTGTCTAAGCCGGGGCTTGGAGGGCTGCCGGGCGACGGCGTGGGGGTGCAGGGGGTCCCGGAGAGTGGTGTGTCGGTACTCAAGGAGGAGGGTGTCCTGGAGCGGGGGGCCCTGAGGGGCCTAGCCGGCCCCAGCTCCACTCGGCTCACACGCTCGGCGAACTTGAGCGAGCACACCGTCTCGCCGAGATCCTCGGGCCGCGTGGAGATCTGCGGGTAGCAGCGCTGGTAGGCATGCCCTGGTGGGCGGCGCCTGGCATGCAAATCACACCCCCGCGGGCCGCCCCGCCCACCTGCAGCAGCAGCACCGCCGTGGCGCCTGGGCCCAGCGCCGGCTGCAGCAGCCGTGTGAGCTGCGAGTCGCGGAAGGGCACGTGGGGCCGGCGGGCCCGCAGCGCGGCCATCACGCCTCCCAGCGCCAGCAGCGAGCGGTTGATGGTCCGAGCCTCCCGTAGACGCTGGGCGCCGTCCCGGTCTTCCTGAGATGTACTGGCCGCCCCCGCCTTCCAGGCGCGCTCGGACCCCGCCAGGTCGACGAGGTGCAGCGTGCCTGCAGGGGCGAGCGAGCCGGGCGTGGACGGAGGCCCAGCGTGGGTGCAGCAAGGCCCCCGCAGGGCTCAGGCTCCGAGGTACCTGCGGTGCTGGTACCGCGCGATGGGGACGCTGTGCGCAGTGTCAGTGTGACCAGGGCGTGCGAGCGAGAGCTGCGCTGGTTCATGGCTGTGGCGGCGGTGGCCCGGTTGCTCCTCCCCAGGCTCAGCATCTGCAGGATGGGCGGACAAGGGCTGGCCTAGGGCGGGGCCCGCGCCCCCGGTGCGGGTAAGGGCGGGGGCTGGGAGAGGTGCGGGGCCCCACTGGGCAGCCTCACCTGGTGCAGAGACTCCAGGCTGGGCACGTCCCAGTGGGTGAGGCCAGCCACCTGGACTCCCCCCTGGCCTGCTGGGCCCTGCCTCACTGCCAGGCGCTGGGGAGGCCCTGGGGCAAGGAGGTCCCTGGTGAGAAAGGGCAGGGCTCCGTTGGGGGGGCTGGGGGTGGAGACAGAAGGGGTTGGGGCTGGGGGCAAGGCGGGAGGCACCAGGTGCCCCTGACCTGACAGCCTCGTTGTAGATCTCCACCATGCTGAGGGTCACGCGGTGCTGCCCGCCTGTGCCCATCTCCCGGAACAGTGACTGCAGTGCCCTAGGAGCGATGCCGGGGTCCTCAGGCGGGCCCTGGGGATAGCGTGGGGTGCCTCAGCAAGCTCACATCCCAGCCCCTGGCTCCAGAGCTCCCCAACTACACCCTTTCCCACCTCCATGCTGTAGGTCTTCCCCGTCCCTGTCTGACCGTAGGTGAAAATGCAGACACTGTAGCCCCCAAGGCAGGACAGCACAGCAGACTCCAGCTCCCTGAAGACCTAGGGGTGCAAAGGGTTTGGAAGGGCCCTAAGCCTGGGGCAAGATGTGACCATAACTTGATTCTCCTGGGAGGAGACTGGCTTTAGGGGAACGTGGGGGAAGCGAGGATCTCCCAACCGACAGAGGAGGCTCCCTGGACAAGGTGGCATTTGCAAGAATTTGCCAGCCAAAGAGGGAAGGAACATGACAAATAGCAGGAACAGAGTAATACGGTCCTGACGACTGACTGCTTGGGAGACTTGGGGGTGTAGCAGTCAAGGGTCCAGACCCTGGGCTCAACGGCCAGGTTCAATCCCTAGGTGGGATTGGAGGCAAATCTCTCATCTTTTCCTCTGCAAGGTGGGGACTGTAGTGGCACCTGTTGTGAGGATTAAGTGAGAACATGGAAAGAGGGCTAGTGCAGCACGTGGCATGTGATGGATGAACCCAGAGGGCCCATGGCTGGGGGGAGGCAGCAGCCAGGATCCTGAAGCTGGGCCCTGGGCGGGTGCACAGAGACAAGTGAAGGGGACATGGAGTTGGGACTTGGCATCCTGCTGGCAGCTGGACACCAGCAGCAGCCTCCTGAGCAATGACATGGTCAGCTTCCATGCCCAGAAGGCATCTGGTAACTGAGTGGGGAGCCAGTGCTGTCTGAAATGTTGACCGCCAGACGCTAGAGCAGAAGCCAGAACAGCCAGTGAGGTGGCTGAGACTCCATGGCTAGAAAGGAGCGCTGTGGGTGCCCCTGCAGAGGCGTGGCACACAAGGGAGGGGCTCAGCGCCTGTAACTCTCCTCCAGAACCGCAGGGCCCTGTCCACCCGGGAGACAGTGCACAAAGGGGCCCCTGAGGGCTGCAGACGGCACGGAGGCTGAAGACAGGGTAGGGGTGCTGTGGGGTCGATGGACGTAGGTGGCAAACAGCTGTGGTGCCCCAAATAGTGAAAGAGGGAGCCCTGGCCGCCTGCCAGGCACTCTCATCACCGTCTGTCCCCGTGAGGCCACCACAGTCTGATGTCTGACAGCTGTGCCTCTCACCTCACCCTCCCAGCTCTCAGCCTCGTTCCTGAGCTACTGGGAAGCTCCAGCTGCACAGTGTGTGTGCATTGGAGAGGGTGTGTGGGAAGCAAGGTGGCAGGCGCTGGGGCTTTAGCCTCTGCTTTCTAGCTCCCTGGGTCTGGCAGGAAAGGGGAGGAGGGCAGGATCTGAGTAGGGCACTGGGAGAGCCCTGGTGCTGGAAGCTCACCTGTGCTCCCCACTCCCCCAACCACAAAGCAAGGAGGGGTACCCCCCTCAGAGCGGGCCAAGCTGAATGCTGGGCCAGGGAAGTGGACAGCCAGGGAAGCCTGGGGGACGGAGGTACCCGGGCACAGCAGGGCCACAGCTGTGCCCTGCAGCCCCGCGGGACTGTCACGCATGCTCTCCTGGCACAAAGTTACTTTTGAAAATGTTAATCTTCCTTTAAGCCATAATCTGTCTTCCCCAGCCTGCAAGAGCTTGGTGGGCAGATACAAAGGAAAAACCCTGGGAGGAAAGCAGGTGCCCAGCTAGGATGCCAGCCCTGCTCCCAAGCCCCATGGCTCCCTTCCCTTCCTTGCTGGAGTCCAACCACCCTCTCTCCTAGGAGGGCGGACAGACAGGAGCCTCCTCAGGACTCCAGAGGATCTGAGAGACAGTCGACACAGATCCAAGGGTGGAGCATCACCTCCTCCTGGCTGGCGTGCGGAGGGAAGACCCAGTCTAGGCGGAAGCGACGCTGGTGCCCTCGATAGCAGGTAGTAACAGTGCCACCTGGGCCGGGCTCTAGGCTCACCAGGCTGGAGGGTGTCCCTGGCCTCAGGCGACACAGCACACGAATGTTTCCTGGGGTGGAGATCAGGTCCAGGCGCTGCCTCCTGGGTCCTGAAGTGTGAAGAGCCTCCACGTCCCCAACCTCTGCCACTCCAGCCCTTTGCTCCCCAGACCTGCTGTACCTTTGAGCTCCAGCAGCCGCCCTGGGCATCCGGGGAGAGGCCCCTGCGGCGCCTCCGCGAGTTGAGTCCCAGCCCCATCAGCTGACAGTGCCCCCAGAGCCCAGGAAACCTGGGGGAACAGAGATGTGAGGGAGGGGAGGCAGTGGAAACAGCTGGGGGATGCGGTGCTGAGGGCAGGATCTACTACGTGGCCCAGCTGTGGTGATCTACTGCTTTCTGTGGCTTCAGGCCCCGGGGACGGGGAGGATCTCTCAGTGATCTGGGATGGAGCTCAGGGACCTGAGGAGAATGCTGGCTCCTGGCAACCCTGTGAGAGATCCACTGTCACCCCAGTCTGCACAGGACACAGTCACTCTGGCTCCAGAGCCCCTAGTCTCCATCAGAGCAGATAACACCCTGGGACTGGAAAGGAGGCAGGGACAAGGGCTCCCCAAAGGAAGGCCAGTGAAAAGGCTGCCAGAGAGCAAGCGCGAGGGAGGGAGCAAGCGGTTCTGACCTGTCCCTGGGCTTCGCTCAGAGAACCCTGGCAGCTCTGGGTAAAGGTGCTGACGAGTCCCCGGAGGTCCCCGCAGCCCTGACGCAAGCTGGCCATGCGAGCACGAAGTCCTGTGGGGGAGGCCGTGGTGAGGGGAGGCCAGACCCCACACCTTGCCATGCGCTCCACAGCCCCGGAGCTTACCTGCCAGCTGCCCTCGCATCTGCTGCAGCTCCCTCCTGCAGTTCTGCTCAGTCTCCTGCTGGAGCTGCCGGAGGGCCCCCTGAAGGCCCTGCAGCTGCACCTCCTGCACCCCTAGCTGCCCCCCACCCAACCCCACCCCTGTCACTGAGGAAGCAGGCACTTACCAGGCTCTGCCTCAGACACCCCCTTCCCAGCGCCCCAGACTTCCCAGCCCCTGGGCCCCGTGCCCACCTGGACTCGGAGGGCTTCCGTGGTGTCCTGGGCTTCTTGAAGCCGCCCCCGAAGCTCCAGCAGGGCTTCTGCCTTCTCCTGCAAGGGGAGTCGGAGCCAGTCAAACTGTGGAGGCAGGAGGCAACTGGGGGGTGCACTCCAGCTGCCCCATTTTACAGATGAGAAAGTTAAGAGAGGGTTGCAAAGCTGGTCACACATCCGTGCCTCCCAATTCCATGCAAGGGTCCATTCCCCCAGTCCTTCTGCTCCCCTGGGGTCAGCCACTGGTTTATTTGCAGCATTCAAACTCTTAGTGAGACACGTGGAATCTAATTCCCTGCCCAGGGATGGAAATGGGCCTCCTGCATGGGGAGTGCAGAGGCTCAGCCCTGGGAGCACCAAGAAGGTCTCCTGAACAGGGCTACCATGCAGTTGCTGCCCACAGTCTGGGCCCAGGTCTGAAGGGTCAGAGGGGGAGTCCTGAGAAAGCATGGGCAGTGCTGCTAAAGACCAGGTGTGCGGGAGCCCCAGGCTGCAGCGATGGTCACAGCTGAGAAGCAGGATACCTGGGGGGCCCTGGTGTGGGGGGCAGGGCCCCAGTGCAGCAGGAGGTCCCGAGTAAGGCTCAAGCTCTGTTTCAGGGCTTTGTTCTCCAGAGTCAGATGCTGAACCCTTTTCTCTGAGTCTGTTGCTCCCTGGGAGAGAAAGAAGTCCTCAGGACTCCCCTGGAGGCTGGGGCCCTCTGTGGGCCTTCGTCCAGCCCCCATCCAGCAGCCTCACCACTCCCAGGCGCAGCTGGCCCAGCTCCTCCTCCTGATGTTCCAGCTGCTGCTTCAGCTCTTCCAGCTGGAAAGGAGGGAGGGGCACCGAGTGGAACACCTTCTTCCAGGCCCCTCCCAGACTCCCAGGCCCTTCCCAGATGCCCAGGCCCCAGCTGCTCTGGACTCCTCACCTGTCCAAGGATGAGC